ACCCTGAACAGCAGGCTCAGGTCACCCCTCCCCCACCTCGGAGCCCCATATAGCTCTGCTCACTTTTCTGGCCCCATCTCCAGCCCTCCCTACCCTTCCTCTGGGCCACCTGGAGCTCAAGGACAGTGGGGCGCGCCCCCTGCGCACCCCACCCCTCCGCAGCGCCCCACCCCCACGCCCTGAGTCCCCGCCACTGCTGGCCGCTCCTTCCCTTTGCACCCCTAGCCCCGCAGGTGAGGTGGGCCCCTCTGGCTCCTCCGTGCCCTGTCCCTCCCCAAAACCTCCAGGCTGGACTGTCCTGGTGAGGGACCGTGGCGCCCACTGCTCCCCCAGAGCTCTCCCTCTCTGTCTGATGGTTGTCACCTGCGCTGCTGTCACACTTGCGGTCACTTCTGCCACCGCCCTCCTCGGCCACATCGTCCCCATGGAGATGAGCTTCTCACATCCTGGTGTCAATTCTTTGACTTCCTCACCTCAGTGAGCTGCCCCTCACCCCGTGACTGCCCCTCTCCTTGTCCCGCCCCAGCTCTTGTCATTGCCACCACCCCCCACCAGGCCTTCCATTCCAAGCTCCTCCGGCACCCCAAGTTCAGCGCCGCTGATTCAGTGCCCACGCCCCGTCTCCCACACGCTGTCTTCCCTCTGCTCCTCACCGGGTCCCAGGTCCTCCACTGAGTGTCACAACCAGCCCCTCTCACACGTGCTCGCCTCTTTGCTCCTGTCCCTTGTTTGGCACAATCCGAGTCCGTGCTAAGCCCAGCCCTCTGCCTAGTCTGTGTCAACATGACCACCTTCCAGTCCCATCTTGTTTTTAATCCTCACCCGAGGGTATTTTTCCATTTATCTTCAGATAGAATTGGAGGGAGAGATGGGAAGAGAAAGGGGGAGAGAGAGAAACAGTAAGAGAAGGACACATCGACTGGTTGCCTCCTGCATGACTCCGACCAGGACCAGGACGAACCACAACTGAGGTACGTGCCCTTGACTGGAATCGAACCTGCGACTCATTGGTCCTCAGTCCTATGCTCCCACCGCTGAGCCAAACCGGCCAGGGCGGCCCCTCTTCTTAATGGGGCCCTGAGCAGTACTTGGAGCTGCACTGTTTCTGCCCCGCTGTGCCCTGGCCCCACCGAGCTCCTGGGGCAGGAGCTGGTTCCCAGGGCCTGAAGGGTGTTTCCGTTTCACAACAATCAACGCTGGGGAGCAGCAGAGCAGGAAGAGAAAATGCCATGCTGGGGAGGAAGGCTGCCCTGAGCTGATAAACCTCGCTTCTTCCTGAAGGGAGGGACCAAGGCTCCCGCGGGGCATCGGACTCAAGCAGCGACACTTGTTTAGGGGTTCTGGGTCTCAGAAAGAAAGGGCCAGGACGCAAGTAGAGAGACCTGACTTGGGCTCCACCCTGCCCTGAGCTAACTTCCTGAAGCCCCGGCCAGTCTCTTCCATCTCTGAGCCTCGGTTTCTCGTCCCTGAACTGGGGTCGGGTGGCCATCTGGCTGGAGTGTGGCCATGTCTCCAACAATGAAGATACATTTAGAAAATAAACAGCGTGAATGAAACGGGCCATGTCTGAACATGCTTCAAGTCCATTCCTGAACCCCATGACCTCGAGCTCGTGGGTACAAACCCCAAGATAGGTGGCTAGGAAGCCCCCTGGCTGTGGTTCACAGCGGGATGCTTTTTCTAGAAAGTGCTGCATTCGGCTTCAAGCCGGTTCCCCAGGCCTCTTCCGGATGGGGGGCGGGGAAGGCGCCTCGCCGAGCTCCTGCTGGGGGCAGCTGCGCGGAGCGTTCCATTTGGGGACAGAAGTGCAGTGACTGCGGCTGGCACAGCGAGCCCACCTCCTCCGAGCATGTGGGTTCCGCCTGCCGGGTGGGGGAGCAGTGGCCCAGCGCAGCCAGAACCAGGGTCTCTGCAGGAAGCCGCGCGCCCCCTCCTAACGCTAACCCCCACAGTCTTGGGGGGCCCTTCACCTGGCGGGAGACCAGGGGGACAGCTGTCTGTCAAGGCCGCTGGGAATGTCGGGGTGAACTTCAGGTGGAAACAGGCAGGGAAGAAGAAGAGACGCCTGTCACGCTGAGCTCCGCTCCCTTAAGAGCTACGCGGGGATGCTGCGCCCCGACTTCGGGAGGGAGCGGGACACGGGAGGGTTTGTGTCAGCGCCTCGGGGGGGCGCCGCACCTGCCCGCAAGCCCGGGCCCTGCCGTGCTGGGTCCGGCCCCCTGGGTCCTCCTGGCGTGACTGTACCCCCTGGGTCCTCCTCGCGTGACTGTACCCCCTGGGTGCGCGGCTGGGCGACCCCCACGGCGGCGGCCAAGCCCGGCTCCTTTTCCACGGGGTGGGGTGGATTCCGACGAGACGTGAGGCCGCGGTTCTCAGCCGGTGGGTGGCCGAAGACCATCGGAAACGCGTATTCCCACGGTCTCAGGAACCAGGCACCTCTGGCGCCTCCAGGCGTCCGCCACCTGCGGACGCGCCCACACGACAGGAGGAGCTGGACCGAAGGCCCGGCGTTAGGGAGGCTGAGAACCATGGTCAGGATGAAAACCAAACACAGCAGCCCTTCCCCGACTCCTGTTCCGCTCCCGGTGGTCGCTACCCACCCGCGCCCAGGTCCAGAAGACACTGCGGGGAGAACCCCAGAGCTGAACGGTGGCCACGTGGCCACGTGCTGAGCGCGGTGAAGTCTCGCGAGGCCGCTCCCAGCCCGGGACATGGCTCCGCCCTCTGGCCCCTCTGGCTCCAGACGCCCCGCCCCCTGGGCACCGAGGGGCCTCTGGGCACCAGCTGCCACGTGGCAGCACCAAGAGGCCTGTGCGCACGTCACCCCGCCTTGATGTCACAAGGGCCCCAAAGCAGTGGTGCTGGCAGGTCCGTGCGCCCGAGGGAAGCTGGAAAGTGCTTGTCACTCGTCGTCAGAGGGCCAGCAGCAGCCTGACGTCACCAGGCCCACGTCACTCACCGCCCCTCGTGCCGACACGGGGCCACGTGTCATCTCAGAGCATCGCCAGGAGAGGGTGCGCGCAGCCCAGTGACCTTCTCCGACTCTGCAGTGCGGTGAGCTGCCTGGATCACTTTAGCTCTGGAAAGAGGTTCTCTACGGAAATGGTCACCCACAGGGGGTGTGAAGGCTTGAGGGTGACGACTGTGACACTCGGCGCTGACGGCACAGCTTCAACATCTCTGTTCTCACTAGGACTGTTGAAGTTTTTCAAGTGATCTGGTGACAAAGTTCCACGGTTTTATGTGGTGGGCCTGAGTCCCCATTTTCCGGTAAGCCCTGGGCAGCTGCAAACAGGCTCCTGTGTGTGTTTAGTTAAATCAGCTCATCTTTAATTCACCAAACAGCAGAGGGCTTTGAGTGGGAGTCACCTTTGTGTCCACAACCGCGTCAGGGACGCGAGGCGGGAAGGACCAACCTGGCAAGCAGGGGCGAGGCCAGGACCTGCCCCAAGGACCTCAGCTAACAGAGAGACCTGGGCTCGGACAGCCGTGACCTGGGCCGGTGATGGGGGTGGGAACTCGACAGGTTATGGAATTCACAGGGGTTCCAGATGGGCCTGCAGGGACAGCTGTGACCTGGGCCGGTGATGGGGGTGGGAACTCGACAGGTTACGGAATTCACAGGGGTTCCAGATGGGCCTGCAGGGACAGCTGTGACCTGGGCCGGTGATGGGGGTGGGAACTCGACAGGTTACGGAATTCACAGGGGTTCCAGATGGGCCTGCAGGGACAGCTGGGACGTTGGCCGGTGATGGGGTGGGAACTCGACAGGTTACGGAATTCACAGGGGTTCCAGATGGGCCTGCAGGGACAGCTGAGACCTGGGCCGGTGATGGGGTGGGGAACTCGACAGGTTACGGAATTCACAGGGGTTCCAGATGGGCCTGCAGGGACAGCTGAGACCTGGGCCGGTGATGGGGTGGGAACTCGACAGGTTACGGAATTCACAGGGGTTCCAGATGGGCCTGCAGGGACAGCTGAGACCTGGGCCGGTGATGGGGTAGGAACTCGACAGGTTACGGAATTCACAGGGGTTCCAGATGGGCCTGCAGGGACAGCTGGGACGTTGGCCGGTGATGGGGTGGGAACTCGACAGGTTACGGAATTCACAGGGGTTCCAGATGGGCCTGCAGGGACAGCTGAGACCTGGGCCGGTGATGGGGGTGGGAACTCGACGGGTTACGGAATTCACAGGGGTTCCAGATGGGCCTGCAGGGACAGCCGTGACCTGGGCCGGTGATGGGGTGGGAACTCGACGGGTTACGGAATTCACAGGGGTTCCAGATGGGCCTGCGGGGACAGCTGTGACCTGGGCCGGTGATGGGGTGGGAACTCGACGGGTTACGGAATTCACAGGGATTCCAGATGGGCCTGCGGGGACAGCCGTGACCTGGGCCGGTGATGGGGGTGGGAACTCGACAGGTTACGGAATTCACAGGGGTTCCAGATGGGCCTGCAGGGACAGCCGTGACCTGGGCCAGTGATGGGGGTGGGAACTCGACAGGTTACAGAATTCACAGGGGTTCCAGATGGGCCTGCGGGGACAGCTGTGACCTGGGCCGGTGATGGGGGTGGGAACTCGACAGGTTACGGAATTCACAGGGGTTCCAGATGGGCCTGCAGGGACAGCTGGGACGTGGCAGGCAGAGATGGGCACTGCGTGGGCAGCCATGCGGCAGGGGCAGCGGGGTGGAGGTGGCCCTCGCCGGGAGTGTCTGAATGTGCAGGGATTGGTGCTGGTACTGGACGGGAGCCTGAGGGCGGGCCAAGTGGGCCCCGGAGTTTGCACTTCAGTTGGATAATAACAGGGGGGCCTTTCGGTCATTCGGCAGAAATGTGCTGTGTGCTGACCCTCCGCCAGGCGCTGCCCTGGTGCTGAGCACACCGTGAGTGGGCAGCCCCCCTGTCCCACAACTCTGAGGAAGGTGGGGGCTGCGGCCTGGTCCCCGGCAGCCACGAACCCCTGACCTCCCCCATCCAGCCACAGGCCCCGGTCACCCTCAGACAGCGTAGTCAGGGGACTGGCGACCGTCGCTCCCCTGGTCTCCGTGATTGGCGTCATCCTCCTCTTCCTGCCCTCTGGACAGTCGCCTCAGCTGCTCCGGAGGCTCCCGGTAGATGGACCGACTCCTGTGGCAATGAGGGCAGAGGGAAGGTTGGCCCAGGGAGCGGCCCCGTGCCCCGTGCCCCTCCTGACCGCCGTCCCCACCCATCTGGCTGGACCCTGGGCTGAAGGGCGGGGCTCAGAGGACAGGAAGTGGCCCAGACTGGTTCCACTCATGAACTGAGGGCATTACGGAGCAGGAGGGACCCGCTGGTGACAAAGGCCCAGCCACGTTGGGCCCTGGCATCCACAGGAAGCCCTGAGGTCCGAGGTCCTCGGGTCAAGTCTGGGGCCGCGATGCCACTTCAGGACACGCTGATAAAAGTGGCAGCTGTCCCCGGGGTGGAGAGCGGGGACAGTCTTCCCAGTGGGCCCAGCCCCGTGCCACCAGGCTGCCCCGACGCTCACGGCCTGGTCTCGTCCTCGCCCTTCTCCCGGCAGCAGCAGCAGTAGACAAGGACACTGACGAGGATGAGGGCCGCCACAGCACCACCCGCGATGCCCGCGTACAGGGCCACGTTCATGGAGGCTGCGGGGAGAGACAGCTGAGCCTCCCGGCCCCAAGAATCCCACCCCTGTGAGCAGGGAGCCACCCCCGGGACAGCGCGTTACGTGGAAGGTGAGGCCTGGTGGGAACGAGACCAGCCACCAGCCGGGCCGGAACATCGTCGGGCCTGGAGACGCACACAGGGACCGAGGGCCCAGGCCTTTGCTCCCGCTACGCCCCGGGCTCCTCCGGCCCCGGAAAAGTCCTCTGCTGTTGGTCAGGCGGTTCCTGCTCCAGCGTACCCCTGAGTTGGGGAGTGTCCCACCCCCGAGGACTGTGCAGCTGGCCCCGGTCACTGCCCTGCCCGCTGCCTGAGCAGGCCGGCAGATGCCAGCGTCCTGGGTGCTGCTTCCAAAGGAGCGAGGGAACTGGACTGACCTCCAGGCAGCGGGAGCCACGCACAGGGCACCTGGTCACCCCGCCACCCGGCCAGCGGCACCCAAAGGAGGCTGCTGATTCATCCCACCTCTCCGTCCCCCCAGCCTCCCTCCACACTCAGCTGCTCTTACGCGGTCGGACAGTCACGGTGATGTTGCAGGACTCCGTCCCCACCTCGTTGCTGGAGGTGCAGATGTAGAAACCCGACGTGTCCGTGGAGATGTTCCTCAGCGTCAGGGTCTGCCCGGTGCCTGGGAAGGAAGACCACCAGGTGAGGAGAGGGCACCACGGCGGCGTGGAAACTGGAGGGGACCCACCTGGGCTGCTGGCCTGAGGCCCGGCAGGTGCGCTAGGTACTGATCATGTGACTGGAAGTAACTTAGCTTCACTGAGCCTCAGTTTCTTTATTTCTGAACGTCCACCACTTACGTGAGCATTTAACTTGTTGAAGCCACAGCTACCCCTGTGGGGTGGGACTGCTAACCCCGGGCCCCCTGAATCCAGGGGGTGGCCCCAGTGTCCTCGTGAGCAACCGTCCTGCTGGCGCTGTGCCCTGGGACCCCCGCCTGGAAAAGGGGAGCTCGGCGCAGGTGTAGGTATATGTCCCATCCTCAGACTGGCTCTGTTGCAACCGCGGTTTTGAGAGAAGGTTTAAGAGACCTTTGTCCTCTCCTCTGCGGCAGGAGAAGCCTCCCGGGATCCCTGCTGCCACCAGGTGCTTGCACGCCATCCGGAGGACCAGCCACCACCCAGGTCACACTGCAGGGGCAGCCCGTAGTCTTCATTAACAAGTGCCCGCTTCTCAACATCGGTTTTGCAATTTCTCCAAAGAGAGTTGTCACCTACTCGCTATAAGAATTTATACGTGCCCTGGCCAGTTTGGCTCAGTGGTTAGAGCATCGGCCTGCGGTCTGGAGAGACCCGGGTTCGGTTCCCGCTAAGGGCATGTACTTCGGTTGCAGTTTGTCCCTGGCCCTGGTTGGTCGTGCGGGTGGCAGCCACTCGATGTGTCCCTTCACGTCGATGTTTCTATCTCTCTCTCCCTTCCTCTCTCTCCTTCCCACTCTATCTGTACAAAAAATGGAAAAATATCCTCGGGTGAGGATAAAAAAAAAAAAAAAGAATTTATACGTGACATAAAATAATTATTTCACTTCCGTCTGATCCGGAAAACACATGCTCATCCCCTCGGCTCTAAACAAGGTGGCGGGTGCCCAGTCTGCGAGGGAAGAGACGTGGCCCAGTGGTCACGGCGGTGATCACATGGAGTGCTACTGGAGTTTACAGGATGGGAGTCGCAGCTCCCCGGGGTCAGGGACAGCCCCTGTAGGAACGGAGAGAACAATGCGGCTAGAAGTGACGGCTGGTGGAGCAGGTACGTTCTTCCAGCCGCTCCGTGTGCACCTTCTCCACCCCCTTCCCTGGACGCCCAGCCGTGTTCTCTGGGCGCCCACGCTCCCTAAGACCCTCGGGGTGCTCTCGGGAATGCCGCTCACATGCGACATGAATACATCCTACCGAAAAGAGTCCGTGACCAGAGCGGGTTCAGAAATCAGCGTTAGGGTTAAATGAATTTTTTAACGACAGAACTCTCAGAATTTCTAATACGCTAACGAGCACTGGGTGGTGATGGTACAGTGGCCTCCTTTTCTAAACGAATGGGAGATGCTCTCGGACCCTGGCCGTACCTCGGGGGCGGGGAGCCCTTATCAGATTGCCACTGCTGCAGCCGGGAGACGGGTCTGCTCTGAGGTGAGCGTGTCGATGGAGGGCAGGCTGGTTCAGGGCGCGGGGCGTGGGGCTTCCTACCCCGTCAGCCCGTCCCCCCCAGCTCCTCACGCAAACGGGGCATTGGAAGCTGCCCGGCGCGGACCAGGTGCCCCCCAGACATGCTTTGACTTCTGGGGCCACCCCCTGGATTCAGGGGGGCCGCGGTTAGCAGTCCCACCCCACAGGGGTAGCTGTGGCTTCAACAAGTTAAATGCTCACGTACGTGGTGGACGTTTAGAAATAAAGAAACTGAGGCTCAGTGAAGCTAAGTTACTTCCAAACCCCTTTTTCTGGAAGGGACCCAATAGTTCCGAAAATCAGTGTTTCTGCTGCAGTGGTGACACCTTGTGGTCTCTGTGGGAAACGCAGGGACCACGGCTCCCACGTGTCCTCTGCTCCAGCTGGAGAGAGTTCCCTGCGGAGGAGCCCGGGTTCCCGGACACTGACGTCACTTGACAACACTTAACTTTGCTGTCCCAGTCCCGTGGCTTGTCAGTAAGTTCGGGCTGCTACCTCTGGCCTTCAGGATCCTCCCTGGCTGCTGGGAGCAGGCCGCGCTCACCCTGCAGAACCTCCTCCTAGTGCTCTAGTCCCCAGCACCGCCCCGCCCCCTCCTCGATACCCCAGGGCCCACTCCTTCCGTGCAGGAAGCTCCGGTTTACAGGGGATGTTCCGCAAGAGCACACACAGACTCTCCTCTCATCCTCCACCACCTTCGGGAGGGCGGGGTAATGATCTCCCCGGCGTTTAGGTGAAACTGCTACGGGTCCGAGAGGCGCCGAGTGACTTGCAGCTAATGGGGAAGTCAGGACTTGAACCTTGTGCACTGGGTCCAGATTCCCTGTTCTCACTGCTGGCTTGGTCCCACCGACTGCTTAGTCAAAGGAAGCAATCTCTAATGGGGGATTTCTGTCTTCCGGTGCAGGAGGGACCCTGCTCTCCACTGGGGACCGAAATGCTTTAAAAGTCAGAGATGGGTTTGTCCTGGCCCTGGAGGAAGCAGGCAGGATAGGCCCTCGAGGGCTCTGCGAGGCAGGGTGGTGCACCCCACGCACCACGTACACCCTCTGGCTGTCCTTACCGTTAACCACCCTTTCCTGTCACTCTCAGGTCCCGAGTCTGACCGTGAGCAAATGTTAACCCAGGCTGGGCGAAGCTTCACCAGAGCAGGTGGGTGGACTCATTCCCTGTAACCCCTCTGTGCCCTCGGGCCCCTGCCGTCTCGGATTCCTGCAGAAACGAAGGTCTGCCTGTGCCGGCCAGCGGGCTCCTTCCTGATGGACGCAGGAGAACCGCGAGTGGGGTGCCTGCCCAGGGTGCACCTCAGAAGAAGCTGGTGGCCTCTGGGCCCAGGCAGCCCCCCACCCAGTGCCCAGGCCCCTCACCATCTCTCAGCGCTGCTCATGGCGCTGTCCCCGCTGTTCCTGCCCTGCCACAGGCGCACACACCCTGCTCCCCAGCCACCCCCAACGCTCCCGGTGCCCGTGCTGTCCCCTGTCCCCGAGCCTGCCCATCCTCAAGGATCAGCTCACAGAAGAGCATCCTGTGTGCTTTCATCTAATCTTCACAACCCTGTGCAGTCAAGTCTAGTTTCATGCCCATGTTTTATGCAGAAACTGCAGCACAGAGAGGCTGAGCCACTCACCAAAGTCACACAGCGAACAGTGGCCGAGCCAGGGTCCGAGCACATGCCCTGCTCTCTGCCACCATGCTGTATGCCAGCTCCAGTGCCCCTGAAGAGACCCTCTTTGACCTCCTGTGTGTCCTCTGGGTCACAGTGCCACTGGGTGTAAATTATTGTCACATTCGACCCCACTGGACACACTTTGCTACCAGGAAGGGCAGACCAGCCAGTGTCCATGGCACACCTGGTGACCATTGCCGCAGTCACTGTTCACAGCCAGAGGGGAGGCCATCGGGGCAGCGGAGGGTGGCCAGGTGGGGTCAGCAGGAAGTCCAGACACGCCCAACACCAGCCTGCCGGCCAGACATGGGGGACCCAAGCCGGAAGCTTGTTGACGCCCACGACACATCTATTTCACGTCAGCCCGGGTGTCCTCCGGCAAGTCTTTGACTTTTAAGAAGTTCTTGTTTTGCCCCCAAACGAGTGACGGGCGAAGTGACAGGTGCGTCCTGGTTTGACAGAAGCCCCAGCGGCACCCACGCGGCCGGGCTCACCGCCGACCTGGCTCCTCCCTGCCCTCCCCAGCCCCGCCGCCCACCAGGCCCAGGCCCCTCTCCGCCTCGTCTCCGTCCCCGGGAGCTGGCTGCAGCTGCCCGGCAGCAGTGGGCACCAGGCCAGGGTGTTCCCACGCCAGTGGGCTCCATGATGATGACGGGATATTTATATAGTTTTTTTTCCTTCAGTGTGTTTCCTGACCTAAAGGTCAAATACCCAGCTGCCCAGGACAAAGCCAGTCTCCTGGCAACCGTCGGTGAAACTCCCATCCTGTCCCTGAGTCCTCGAGAGTGGGGCCCTCACAGCGGCCCTGGTCCGGTGGTGTGCGGCCATAAAGGGGGCACGTTCGGGGAGGTGGGGTTCAGGGGGCCTGAGACGGACCGGCCTGGCGGGGGAACAGGCAGCCCCCACCCTGAGTGGAGCCCCAGCGTTGGACTTGGGGCCTCGGGTGTAGACCGTAGGCCACGATCGTCATCAAAGCTGAGCTCCCAGCGAGGGCTTCCACACAGTGGCTACGAGCACGCGTGTTGGGGAGGACCGCGTGCTGGGCGCAAGGGCACAGTCAGCCTGTCCTGCGTGTCGCTAGGGCTCCACGTGAAGTCACTATGGGGTAGGTAGGTAGGTACTGTTGGGACAGAATGGTGCACAGGGCGACGACCCAAGACAGCTGTGCAGATGCACCCCTGATCAGCCCTCGGGGGCTCTGGGCAGCCTGCCAATCAGCCGCACCTTGGTGTGGTTACCTGGCGGGACTTTCCGCTCCTGGTTCAGCAGGTTGAAGCTCTTCCAGCTGTACTGAGGGGCCGGGGAGCCCTCCCTTGACTGGCAGGTCAGCTGGATGTCGTTCCCAATCACGGTCTCGCCCTTGATGCCGCACTCCGGTTTGGAGGGTGGTACTGTGTGGGGAGAGGGGCCAGAGAGATCAGGAATCAGGCGGGGCTTGGTGACAGCCACCTCCCGCCCCAAACGCACGCTCACAGGCAGAGGAATTCACAGCCTAGAGGTGAGACATAACACTCGGTCAGCGCAGCCGAAACACCGCCCCAGCGGCCTGGCCCCGTCACAGAGGCAGCCTGTGCCATGGGGAGCACCCGATGGCTGGCAGAGTGTCACCCTCATCTAGATGGGGAGGCGGAGGCCCAGCAGGGGGCTTGGCAAGGGTCCTTCTGAACCCAGGTCCAAGGGTCTCCCCACCAGCCGTAGGTCCGCCCTCCAGCGATGCAGCTGTGCTATTTCAGGCCAGCCTGAGCCCCCAGGGCCCCCCACCTGTCACATGAGGGAGCAGCAGACTTTTTCTGTAAAGGGCCACATCACGACCTCTGTCATTGCTTCTTTATAAATAACCCTTTAGAAATGTAGAAACCATTCTTAGCTCGCAGGTCACGTAAGACTGGTTGCGGTTTGCCTGGTCCTGGGCAAACGGAGGCTGCCCCGTCTCCAGCCCTTCATTCAACGTGCCCAGAATGTTCGCTGCGGGGTAAGCATTGCCCTCTTCCCCTGCTCTGCTGATAACATGCAGCTGTCCTGAGCGGCTGGGGGAAAGGGGGACCCCGGGAGCAGCAGAGGTGTGTGCTGGGGGGACGAGGATCGGAGGACCCCTGCAACTCACGCCTGAGCTGGTCCCCAGAACTCCTGCCGACCTCCCCTGGGCCTTCCGCTCAGCCCTGTGGACACAACCATGTGGTGTGGCTCGTGTCGCAAACCTTATGGGGCACCTACTGTGTGCATGACACTTCTGGGGACCTTATGGGGCACCTACTGTGTGCATGACACATAGTGAGGAGTCCCTGTGTTCAAGGGGTCACGAGCAAGCAGGAGGCGAGGCTCTGGGACAGGGAAGGCACGGACAAGGGACAGAGACTGTCACGACACAGGCTGTGACCGGAAGGACCCCCAGAGATCTCGGATCTCCCCCGGCTGGTCCTTCCAGACAGGAGGTAGATGCCACCTGAATACCTTTTTGGACGCAGTGATGGGGAGGGGGTCAGGGGAAGCCTAGGCTTCAGGCCTCTGCAGAGCCTGCGACTCCCTCTGAGGGCACCAGAGGGCGCCAGAGGCCGGTGGCCTCCCCTCCGGGGTCAGGACTGCTGCCCTGCCTGGTCCTGCGGTCACCCAGCCCGAGTGGCCGGTGCTGCACAGTTAAAGCCCTTCCGCGGAAAAAACAGCCCTGCAGGAGAGCCATTTGGAAATAGAATTTTATTTTTTTTAAAAGAAATTGCTGGATTTCCTAATGTGTAGTATAAAGTGATTTCTCTCGCTCTTTTTTATTATTTATTTATTTACTATTTTTTTATCCTCACTCGGGGACATTTTTCCATTTTCTGTTCAGATAGAGTGGGAGGGGGAGAGAGGAAGAGAGAGAGAGAGGGACACATCACGTGGCTCTTTCATGACAACCAGGGCCGGGCACAAACTGCAACCGAGGTACGTGCCCTTAGCGGGAACTGAACCCGGGTTTCTCTGGACTGCAGGCTGATGCTCCAACCGCTGAGCCAAACCGGCCAAGGCTCGCTCACTCTTTTTAAAGCAAAACATGAGTTTCGCCGAGTCCCATAACCTCAGATGAAGTGTGTCCCCCTCACCCAGCAAGTTAACTAAAATGCAGCAGCCCTGGTGGGGACAGTCACACTTGGCAGGGGGGCCGTCACCTTCCCCAGCTGGCTCCTTGGGAACACAGGAGTTGTTTAAAGGGGGCCAATAGGAGACAGAGTCAGGCAGAGGGAGACCAGGCGGGAAGCGGGGGACTCTGCTGGGGGAAGGGGGCTGGGGGAGGGCAGGAGAGAAACTGGAGAAAATGCTCCTTCTCTTGGCTGGGAGCCTCCCTCCAGGTGCTAATGCACATACGTGAAGAGCCCTGCACACGCCAGGCCCTGCTGGGTGTCATTTCCAACAGGTCCGGTTGGAGGCGCCTGAGCCAGCAGCGCAGGGACAGGGCAAGCGGATGGGGGCAGGCACAGCGGGAGTGTCCTGTGCATGGCGGGTGACGCTCCGGCCGTTAGCTGTACCCTCAGTGAGCTCCCAGATGCCCACGTGCCCGGGGCTGGGAGAGAACACGTACACCACCTCCCGATACAGGGGCGTGCTTTTCCTTGTCAGTTTCTTATTGTTAAAAAATTAGTATTTTTTTAAATCCTCACCCAAGTATATTTTTCCATTTTATCTTCAGAGTGGGGGGTGGGGAGAGAGGGAGAGAGAGAGACATCAATTGGTTGCCTCCTGCACCACCCTGACCAGGGCCGGAGACTGAACCACAACCGAGGTACATGCCCTTGAGCGGAATCGAACCCATGACTCTTTGGTCCGCAGGCCGATGCTCTAACTGCTGAGTCAAACAAGCCGGGGGGGGAAAGAAAAAAAACTAGTTTTGTTAGAGAGGCGAGAATCACTAACACAGCTACTCGGTCATGTGCGTTTGGACTGAGGCTGCCGCGTGGGTGGACGGGAGAGCGGACAGAAGAAGCCCTATGCCGCTTTCTCGGGTGGCCACGGGGCCGGTGCTCAGCAACGCTTCCCAGCGACTCGGACTTTGAGTCCGGTGCTGCCTTTCTCTGGGCCTCATCTGCAGAATGGAGGTACGAATGTAGGTGGCTGTTCAGATTTTCCCGAGACTAAACGCCAATAAGAAGTCGTGTGAGAAGAACGGCCTCTCGGGCGGATTTCCCAGGCAGCGGAGCCTGGCCGAAGGGTGTGGGTGTGGGCGCTGGTGTGCGGGGGTTTCTGCCGGAGCCGCATTCCCGCAGGGAGGACGCAGGCGCTGGGATGTGGTTGGAGGTCTTAGCGGCACCTGGACTTTCTCTTTCCTTCCGCGGAGTAAGTTTGGCATGAAAACAAGGAGAGGTGTTTTCCCAGCCCGGTGGCTCAGCTGTTGGAGCTTTGTCCTGTACACCCAAAAGGTTGTGGGTTCGATTCCTGGTCAGGGCACATACCTGGCTGTGGGTTTGGTCCCTGCTCCGGATCTCTGTGGGAGGCAACTCATTGAGGTTTTACTCTCTCTGAAAATCAGTGAATATACCCTCGGGTGAGGATTTAAAACAAAAGAGGAGGCCGGCCGGTGTGGCTCAGTGGACTGTCCCATGGACTGAGGTCCCGGTTTGAGTCCCGGTTTGAGTCCCAGTCAGGGCACACGTCCGGGTTACGGGCTTGACCCCCAGTAGGGGTGCCTCATGCGGGAGGCAGCCAATTGATGTCTCTCTCACATCGATGTTTCTCTCTCTCTTTCCCTCTCTCTCAAAAAAAAATCAGTAAATCATTAAAAAAAAAAAAAGAGGAGAGGTGTGTGCATGGACAGGATCTCCAGGCTGACCCCCAAGGGCCACTCCAAATGGGCCTTGTCCTCTGCCCCGGGAGCGCCCCAGTCCTGGAGAACTCAGAACACTCTTCAGCTCTGAGGGGAGGCGCTGCGCCCCTGCCCGAGACAGGCCCTGTCCTCCACGCGCCCCTCCCTGCGCACCTGCTCCCTACGCCCAGGAGGGAGGTGGGGACACTCACCGAGGACCAGGAGGCGGACGCGGGCCTTGGAGGTGCCATCCAGGTCGGTGAGCAGGGAGACCGAGCACTCGTAGGTGCCGTTGTCGTCCATGGTCAGCTGGCCAATGGTGATGGACGCATCGGACTGCTCCGCCCTGCTCGATATGTTGACGCGGTTCTTATACAGGTCGCCGTAGATGTAGCTTTGGGTCAAAAACTGCCAGATGAGCACCTTTTCCTGGGAGGAGGGAGATAGGCCATGTGGTCTTCACCCTCAGGCCCTGGCATGGCGCTTTCTCCGGTCGGTGCTGCCCACCCTCGGCCACCAGCCCTCAGAACCAACAGCTGTCATGGGTGGCACCGTCTGACGATGTTTACATACATTTCACAACACCAGGGAAAGACCAGGGCAGGCGGGCTGTTCCCACGGCGGGAGCGTGTGGACAGGGCGTGTCCTCAGATGCCAGCCCGTTCGCCTCCTCTGACCTCCGGCATCTGTCGCTTCTCTCACTTGTCCCTTCTCAGCCCACTGTCTGTTCTCACTTGTTCGGACGGCCAGTATTTAATGAGCACCTACTATGTGCCAGGCACCGTGCCAGGCAGTCACCCTTGGCTTCCGAGCTGCTCCCTTTACTTGGTTCTTGCCTTTGGGGGCGCTTTATTCACCGACACCCTCACCCCTTATTAAACAGGACACGGGCCTGGCTGTGACCAGCTCCGCCTCCACGCTGACCCCGATTCTGCCGCGTCCTCCCTGGCCCGCTCCCCCGACGCCGGCTTTCCCAGGACCCTTACCGTTTGGCTCCACCGAAGCTTGTCCCACTGGATAAACCCTTGCCGGTCGGGGGCAGAAGTCTCGTACGTGCAAGGCAGGGTGACGCTCCTTCCTCTGGCGGCCCGAAGGACTTCCGACGGGGTTTTCACCGAGATGGCCGTCACAGTCCCCCAGACTGCAAAGAAGGCGGGAGTGGGGGAGGCGTGAGGGCCGTGGGCACCCCGCTCTGGCCAGAGGACCTCTGCGGGTGCCCAGGGACACCCTCCTGCACCCACCGCGGATGCGCCCACCCTGAGGGACCCGCCGGCGACTCGGCCCCCCACGCTGCAGCAGCCTGGCCGGGGCCTCAGCCCAGCTCCTCCGCCCACCCTGTCCCGTCCCCGCTCTTCGGGCTCAGAACCGGCCCTTCCCTCGGGTCCTCGGGTCCCGTGTCTGCGCCTCCACCCTGAGCACAGCTTCTCCGTGGCCATCCGAGGAGGTTCAAATGCGTCGAAGGGAGTTCCTTCGCTCACCGCGGCGTGACCCCGAGAAGTTAGTTCCCTTCAGCTCTCGTCGTGTCCTCGCTCGACACCCGGGTCGTGGCAGGAGTGACGTGAGCGTGGACTTTGCGCAGAACGGTGGCTCCCGTAACCAGCGCCCAGTGACGGTTAGATACCACGCGTCCTTTGGTCCGGTTGACCCACGTCCAGTGTCCCGCCCCCGAGTCTGTTCTGAGGCACCCCCTTGGGTATGACAGTGAATCGCACACGGTCACCACCCACCAGCACCCTGGGCAGACTCCCAGGGAGGAAGAGCAGGTGCCAGGCGTTGCCCTTGGGAATAGATCCGCGTTAGAGATCATTAGACAGCGAGTTAGAATCATTCTGCGCTGATAGATTTATGAGGGGAAGATGGAAAGGAACGGACGAGAAAGAGCTTGTGGAAAAGGGGGTCACGGGTCACACTATTTGGACCCCATGTGTGAACCCAAGGAGGACCCCTGAAGGCGGGTCCTGGGCCCCGAGGCACCTAACCTGTTCCTTCCTGCTGCTGAGGACCTATCCCAGTCTAAGAACCTCATGCCACAGCCCTCCTGGGGTCCTCCTGGGCAATCCCCCTCCCACTGACCTGGCCGGCGCCCCTGTTCTGACGTCACTGGTATCACAGTTGTGGAGGCTTCGACGTTTGTCCCCCCGCTTCCCACCTCCCGCCGGAAGACGCTCAGGTCCTTCCCCCTCTCCCCACTGGCTCAGGGTTTGCAGCCCTCCCACCTGGTCTTCTCTGTGTGATCCTTGCACCCCTGCTCAGTGGAGGAGCCCCAGCTGATCAGAAACTAGGAAGGGGAGAAATGCTAGAGATTTCCAGAGCCTTCCAGCCCCCTCCTTCCCCCTTCCTTGCACATGTCAGCCTTGGGCGTCTTCCTCCCAGTTGCCCAGGACCGCCGGCCCCAGGGGTTGCTGCCCCCTCGTCCTTTGCCTCCCTGGAGCTGCGTCCTCCACGCTCCAGAATATTCCACCCGCCTCCTCAAGTCTGAGCTCCTCTGGGCACCCACGGGAGAGGCTGGTTCACCACGGGTGTCCAGGGCTAGTTCAGCCCGGGCTACCCTCCCCGGGGGCAGGGCTACCCTCCCCAGGGCGGGGCTACCCTCCCCAGGTGGGGGCTACCCTCCCCAGGGCGGGGCTACCCTTCCCGGGGGCGGGGCTACCCTTCCCGGGGCGGGGCTGCCCTTCCCGGGGCGGGGCTGCCCTTCCTGGGGGTGGGGCTACCCTCCCCAGGGCGGGACTACCCTCCCCAGGGCGGGGCTACCCTTCCCAGGTGGGGGCTACCCATCCCAGGGCGGGGCTACCCTTCCCAGGTGGGGGCTACCCTCCCCAGGGCGGGGCTACCCTTCCCAGGTGGGAGCTACCCTCCCCAGGGTGGGGCTACCCTTCCCAGGTGGGGGCTACCCATCCCAGGGCGGGGCTACCCTTCCCAGGTGGAGGCTACCCTCCCCAGGGCGGGGCTACTCTCCCCAGGGCGGGGCTACCCTTCCCAGGTGGGGGCTACCCTCCCCAGGGCGGGGCTACTCTCCCCGGGGCGGGGCTACCCTTCCCAGGTGGGGGCTACCCTTCCCAGGTGGGGGCTACCCTCCCCGGGGGCGGGGCTACCCTTCCCGGGGGCGGGGCTACCCTCCCCAGGGCGGGGCTACCCTTCCCGGGGGTGGTGCTACCCTCCCCAGGTGGGGGCTACCCTTCCCAGGTGGGGGCTACCCTCCCCAGGGCGGGGCTACTCTCCCCGGGGCGGGGCTACCCTTCCCGGGGCGGGGCTACCCTTCCCAGGTGGGGGCTACCCTTCCCAGGTGGGGGCTACCCTCCCCGGGGGTGGGGCTACCCTTCCCGGGGCGGGGCTACCCTCCCCAGGGCGGGGCTACCCTCCCCAGGTGGGGGCTACCCTCCCCAGGGCGGGGCTACTCTCCCCAGGGCGGGGCTACCCTTCCTAGGTGGGGGCTACCCTCCCCAGGGCGGGGCTACCCTTCCCGGGGGCAGGGCTACACTTGCAGCCTCAGGTGCTTCCCCATAAGGAAGGAAGGAAACTCTGCCCCCGCTGGAGTCCTGCGCAGAGGGAGATGTTCTGAGCGCGAAGGTGTCCCGGAGGCACATCCAGGCTCTCCCCAGCAGGGCTGGTGCCTGTTCTCGGGCCTCCCATGAGCCGCGGTCACCTGCCTCCTGAGCTCCTCTCTCGTGAGGGTATGCCACACCACGCGGGAGGGTGGCCCAGGGCACACGCTGGCCCCGCTGCCCGGGCTGGCACCTCATTCTGACTTGCCAGCCGTGTCACCTGGGCAACTTAACTAACTCCTCTGTGCCTCAGTTTCCTCAACTGTGAAATGAGGAGCCCTGGCTGGGTGCTCAGATGCTGACAGCATCGTCCCCATACACCAAGGTTGTGGGTTCGATCCCTGGTCAGGGTACATATGAGAATCAACCAATGAATGCACCAGTCAGTAGAACAGCAAGTCGATGTTTCTCTCTCTCTCTCTCAAGATCAGTAAGTAGCACATTTAAAATGAGGGTGTGCGGTCGCACAAGGCTGCGGTGAGCGCTGAGCGCATTCAGTGTGCACACACTGTCCCTGGCACGTAGCAGGGACCGGCCTTCTGTGTTTTCATGTCTTTCTCCTCTGCCAGGTGGTGTTTCCTTTCTTTTTTTTTTAAATCCTCACCTGAGGATATTTTTTCCATTTATTTTCAGACAGAGTGGGGGAGAGAGAGAAACACTGATGTGAGACACATGGACTGGTTGCCTCCCGCTCGACCTTGACCAGGTCCGGGGATGAACCGCAACCGAGGTACGTGCCCTTGACCAGAATCGAACCTGTGACTCTTTGGTCCACAGGTCGATGCTCCAACCACGGAGCCACACCGGCGGGGTGGGATCTGCCTTCTTCATCTGCAGGTCCCCGGGGCTCCACCAAGTGCCTCCGCACGGCATCGGCTCTGGTAAGTCCTGTGTCACAGCCCATGAATGAGTCCCAGGAATTCAACCTTACAACCTGGACAGGACCCACAGCCAGAGACACCTGGTTGAAGTCCCTATCCCGCAGGTGGCTAGAAAATGCCACACGCACACAAAAATGGAATCAAGGAGCCCCAAGGAGCCCCGGCGAGGCGAAGCCAAGTCCTTGAAGTGCCCCAGGTGGAGCCCGGGAGGTCAGTTAACCTCCTTAATCGGGTGGGGCGTGGAGACCGCGCTTGAAGCCCCGATGATTGCTTGTAAATAATTAAGGTTTGTTAAGAAGATGATAAACTGTCTCTTGAGAGCTCACGGGAAAGTAATACATCCGCGGAGGGTAATGAAATGCTTGATGGCCTGGCTGCTGGAGGCGCACAGCACATTATGGGGCCCTGGGGACCCGGCGGTCGTGCCCCGCTTAGGAAAATCCATCTGCTTGGAGAAGCCATGGCTCAGGCAGGGAGGAGGCAGGCGCTGGAGGCCAGAGGGGAGCCCCAGGACCAGACACGGGCTCTGGGGTTGAGAAAGTGCTGGTCGCTGGGGGGGTGCTTCATGCCTACAGGTGGGGTTTCCCCCACCCCCCATCAATGGCCTCTGTAGGCTGTCCAGCTGGCACCGGGGGAGGAGGGAGGTTAGAAATCGAATGTTTGTTAAACTTTTTGTTCAGCATGGACCTTAGGATTCCACAAATGTTGATCAGTTCAGTGATTTTCCCCATGGCCTTGTATAGTGCCAGGCTCTGGGCAACCGGTCACAGGCCTGCTCGCCCGCGTCCTCTCAGAACCCACCGGAACATCCCAGCCTTACTGTGCCGGCTTTCCTTCCTCCCTCCCTCCCTTCCTCTCTTTCTTTCAGTATAGGTGGAACACGATATTACGTTAGTTTAGGTGCACAATGTAGTGATTCAGAATCCATACACCTCACGAGGTGGTCACCACACTGGGTCTGGTACCCATCCGTCATGGCACAAAGTTATCACAGTATCATTGACGGGGAATCCTTCTCCTTTCCACGACCCCCACTCCCTTCCATCTGGCAACATCGGTTTGATCTCTGATTCTGTGAGACTGGTTTTGTTTGGGGAGGGGGAGTTGTTAGTTTTAGATTTCACATGTAAGTGAAATCATGCCGTCTTTGTCTTTGTCTGACTTGTGTCACTCAGCATAGTGCCCTCGAAGTCCATCCCTGTTGTCACAAATGGTAAGGTCTTATTCTTTTTCATGGCTGAGTAATATTCCATTGTGTGTATGCCCACATCTTCGTTATCCCTTTGTCCATAGACGGCCACCTGTGCTGCTTCCCCGTCTCGGTTCCCGGGAACAGTGCTGCCGGGGACACAGATGCAGATGTCTTTCCGAGTTCGTGTTTTCGTTTTCTTGGCTGGCTCTTTGAAAACCCCTCAGGCAGGCATCTGTCCCCCCCACGCTGCTCTCACGTGGGTGAGGTGGGTTGGGTGCAGGCCTCCTCCCCTCACCAGATGCATGCTCCTTCGCACCCCAAGGGGTCTGCACGGAGCTGGGTGCTAACACGACCTGTTGATTGAGTGGTTCAACGGCAGGTGTTAAGGAGCAAAGTGTGGGGGCCGGATGGGCTGTGTGGGACCAGGATGGTGGGGGAAAGGCTTCTCGAGGGGGCTGGTCTTGAACTAGCCCCCAGGGGGTTCCGTTCACAAGCGACTGAATCAGGATGCGACACCGTCTACATGGCTGTACCCGCTCCCCTGTCGTCGCAGAGAGAAAGCAGATTCCAGAAGCAAATAGACCCAAGTGCAGGATGAGTGACAGCTGTCTCTGGATTCTGGGATCGGGGGCCATTTGGGGTTCCTTCTCAGGGCATTCTGGTTCCACGCGGTGCCCCTGGAGCCAGAACTCGGGCTCCAGTCTGTGGGTCAAGCAGGTGGCCTGTGGCAGGGGAGGAGCCAGCTGGGGCCACAGAGCCACAGGCGTCTCCGGGAGGGCTCTGTGGTCCCCACGGGGGCGGAGGATGAGAGACCAGAGCGGACTCCGAGGTGCAGGGCAGGAGCTCCCGAGGAGGGGCAGATGGGAAAAGACCTCTGGGCGGGCAGGAGGTCACAGCAGGTGTCACCTGTGCCCGTGTGTGGGGCAGCAAGCTGGAGGGGGCCCTGCCCTCCGCACCCATGCCTGCCCCCAGTGGCCTCTGACCGGCCTGGGTGGAGTGTCTGTCGGTTGCCGTGCTCTGCCAGGTGTTTATGGCATCCCTGACTCACCAGGGCAGGAAGCAGGAAAGCAGCTCAGAGGGCGCTGGGTGGCCGAGGGGAGGGGGCACCTCAGGAAGGAAGTGGGCCCCAGGTGTGGCAGTCGGTACCTTGGGCAGGTGACCTGGGAACCAAGCCAGGATCAGCAGGCAGAGAAGAGACAAAATCCGGATACTACCAAGGTTAGGGGCCACCTGACCTCACCTCCAAGTCCAGTGCTTCCCCATAGGTGTCTCCACACGGTCCTGAAACTGGCACCCCCAAGGGCCGGCGCTGACGCTCCCACTGAGATGCCGGTGGCATTGGGGGGCAGGGCAGACCCTCTCGTTCTTTAACCTGCAGGACAAATCCATTTCCCCAAACTGTCCGTCTTGTCCACGGAACCCCAGACAGACTCCGGAGGGTACATTTTGATGGAAGCAGGTGAGAATCGTGGGGCTTGGAGAGAAGCGGGCTCAGCCTGGAGAAGCAGGCGGGGGAGGAGGCCTGGGAAGCGCTCAGGTTTCGGGGCAGGTCCTCCTTCCTCCCTGCGTCCGGCAGGTGGCTCAGCGCCGGGGTCCAGGCCCCGTGGTCCGGCAGTGGCCACACGCGTGGCAGGTCCTCTGCATCAGCCACACGGTAGTAACTAACCACAGATACGTGCGAATAAGCCTCCGTGGTAACAAGTGTCACACGTTCGAGGACAAGACGGAACCAGGGTAGGGGATGGGGAGAGGTTGTCCTGAGGAAGGGCCCTTCGAGCTGATGTTGGAGGATGAAGACAAAAAGGGAGGAGGGGTGAGTGGTGGAGGTCAGGGCCGGGGAGACGGTAGGGCACATTCCAGAAACGGACACAGTGGTGGTTTGGGGGTGTGAGCCCCCGGTGTGATATCCTTGAGCCTCCCCCTGTAGCCCCAAGTACACGTCCCAGCCAAGCCCTCGGTTCCATCAGGGCAGCTTGGACCTGCTCCCCGCGGCCCCCAAGACTCTCCTACAAGACAGTTCTGAAGTCACAGGGCTGCCGATGTGGCCAGTGGGGGCCCTGCCCTGCCCCTACTTCGTTTCTGTTCATGTTCCAGGTACACCCCCACACTCTGACTATCAGATGATGAACACCCCAGCTCCAGGGACTGGCAGACAGCACAGAACTGAGTCGAAAGCCACCAGCGGAGGATTGGCCCCGGGGACCGGCGACTGTCCCCTACACCTCTGGGGGAGCAGTGTGCACTTCACACATCGGAGAGGATCCGTCTCTCAGGCGGCGATGGAGGGTATCGGGGTGAGCTGCGTAGCCCCGCGCTGGGCGGCTAAGGAGAGGGGTGGCGGGGAAGCCTGGAGGGAGAAGTCTTGTCTCTGACATTGTTCAGAATTGTCAGGCTCATAGTATTGTTTTTCTTTATTATTATTATTACTTTTTAAAAAATCCTCACCTGAGGATACTTTTCCATTTGTCTTCAGATAGAGTGGGGGTGGGGGGGGGGTGGGGAGAAACATCGATGTGAGACAGACACATCAAGTGGCTGCCACCCTCACGACCCCAACCAGGGCCGGGGACAAACCACAACCGAGGTAGGTGCCCTTAGCGGGAACCAAACCCGGGACTCTCTGGTCCGCAGCCGACGTTCTAACTGCTGAGCCAAACCGGCCAGGACTCGAATCGGTCTTTTCCAGATCTATTTCCAAGCCTCGACCCAGACCAGGAGTTGGGAGGTGGGGAAGGTGGGGTCTGGGTGGCCCGTCCTGAGCAGGCCAGGGGCCCTGGGCTTGTCGGTCCCAGCTGGCAGCTGACCTCTGGTCCATCACTAGGGGAACCCCCAGGCTCCACATCCTAACGCCAGGAACTCCTCCGTTTCCCACGGCAACTGCATCTCCCTCCGTTCTTCCCCATCCCTAGAGCCTGCAGTAGCTTCTAAGTGGCAGGCTGATGGGATTTCTCAGTGGTGTCAGATTCACGGAACGAAACCCACTCCTGAAGTTCCCAGCCCCCTCTCAGGGACCCCCCCCCTCCTTCCAGCCACTCGCAGGACCTCGACGCCGCGCCTGCCGTCCTAACCGGAGATCGCCGCACGTCCCACACTGCTCTTGGCCATGGATGCTTGACTTGGATTCAGCAGGGTATCAGCGGTGCATGAATTCTGTTTTGTGGGGGTGCCTGTCTTCCGAGTTTCCCATGAGCAGAGGAGAGGTGACCGAGGAGCTTGGGCCTTTGGAAAAGGTCCGTCTAGTTTTTGCTGTCGTCGAGGGGTTGAGTCTTCCCTTGCTCTGGGAATGACATTGGGCAAGCTAACGTGGCTTCTGCCTCGGTTTCCCCTCATGTGGCACAGACGTTGACACCGTTGCCTTTTCCTCCGGTTGTGAGCGGTGAACATGTCCAGATCCGCACGTCCTGGGGTCGCCAGGACAGACCCAGCTCCACACACATCCGACCCTGGGTCTGCCCCGCTGCTCTGCTTTGGGATCAGCTTGTATGGTCTGTGAGAAGTCACACATCCTTCTCCCCAGAGGTGGGCTGGAATTTTATTTGCTAATATGACGATGAAAAACCATCCGATTCCGGTTTCTGGACCAGAACCTGCCACCCGAACAATGGAACTTGACCTTCTGCCCGGCAGGAGCACAACTGTGTCCCAGGGCCTCGCCCCCCCCGGGCACTGGACGGGGAAGGGGCCTACTCACCCGCACAGAGCACCCACAGAACTGGCTGCAGCCTCCCCACCATGGTCTTGCTGCCTCGGGGCCTCAAGCCCAGCCGGAAACTGAGGCACCCACACAGGTCCGGGCTGGCTCCTTGGAACTACCACGGCCTCGGCCTGGCCCAGAGTTTCTTGTCATTTCCTCTTCCTGGCCACCCCAGCTCAGCCTGGCCCCCCACCCCCGCCCCACACCTGACTGGCAGGTGAGCTCACCAATGGCACTGTCTAGAGCTCCACCTCCTCCACCAAAGGCCCCCGCGGGACCCTGCCCACCTTCTCCTTGACCTGCCTCTTCCCCGTTCGACAGGTGTACAAAGTCCTGGGCTTCCCACCCAGGCGTGGGCTTCTCCTCCATAGACAGGAAGTTGCCGCCTCGTAATAAAAAGGGAAATGATCTCTGAGAAGAGGCCGGCACCTGTAAATGAAGGGTGTTGTCCTCACTCTGAGCCACCGCAAGGCACAGTATGACCTGTCCCTCTCGTTCCCTCCCCATGTCCCAGCCCCAGCCCAGGCTGGAGACGTCACAGGAAGACGGGAGCCTGTCCCCTCGGAGGGCTGACCGTCTGGTCGACAGTTCACCTGCCAACAAACACAGCCTTGGGAAACCGTGACCCCCGGTCTTCAGTTTGCTTGGAACTGTCCCGGTTTCAAAGCAGAAAGTCCCACGGTCCCGGAACCTCTCAGTCCCAAACCAACGGGGTGGCTGGTCATCAACGTGAAGAAATGGGCCAGGGAAGGGCTTCTCTTTAGACGGGTGGTCAGAACCGGGTTGGGAGGTGGGCATTGGGATATTGTGTATCACCAACGGGATCTGCGGCTCAGAGAAGCCAGGTGAGTTCTCCAAGGGCACCTGGCTGGTGAGTGGTTTTCTGGCTTCTGGTCGACCACCTCAGTCCAGATGCCACCCTCTCCTCATCCGGGGTGGTGCCTGAGGGCACAGTCCTCTCTCCTCCTGCGTGGTCCCCCCCTTGCCGGTCGCCTCTCATTGCGGTAGCACCCTGTCTTCCCGTCCCCTCCTCTCCTCCTACCTGCCCTTTGCTGGGGCTGTCACCGTGAGCCTGGCCCTGGATGATGCCACCTGCAGTCCCTCCCTGACCCTTCCTGCCCTGTTCCCACTGTGAGTAAAACTAACATCAACGGAGCCGCTTTAACCGTCGCTGGAGCTGCCGTCCCAGGGGAACCGCCGCGCACACCCCGTGCCTCCAACATCTGGCCGATGAAAACAGGGCACAGAACCTCTGGACGGGCCCAGGGCAACGCTGTCCTGAAGAGCTGTCTGCAAAGGGAACGAGAAAGCAGGCACGATGACGAGGGGACGGAACATGGAGAGATTGCTGAGAATTATCTGCACCCATGACAACGCCTTCCTTCGAGCGAGGCCGCTGTCCCCTCCTTTCTCCTCAGAACCCGTCGCCTTCGCCCCGTCGGCAGCCGTGTGGGCCGCTGCCTCCGTCGGAGCGCCCGGATCGCTATTCCTTGGCCTCAGACAGAGGCGTGCTGCCGCCCACTGTGGCATGTTTTTGTATTTGAGTCAACAGGCTCATGCCTCACTTAATAACTCATCTTAGGAGGACTCCCTAGGGAATTCACTCATTTGTTTTATTTTAATCCTCGCCCAAGGTATTTCTCCATTTATCTTCAGGTAGAGCGGGAGGGAGGGGGAGAGAGAGAGAGAAAAACATCGATGTGAGAGGGACCCATGGACTGGCCGCCTCCCGCATGACCCGACCGGGGCTGGGGACCAAACTGCAACCCAAATACATGCCCTGGACCGGAATGGAACCCGAGGCGCATTGGTCTGCAGGCCGACACTCCAACCACGAAGCCAAACGAGCCAGGGTGGGAATTCACCTCTTTACGAAGATACTTATTGAAACCCACCCTGTGCCCGGTGTGGTGAGGTCTGGGCAGCGGGTGGGCCCTCCCTTCTGCCCACAGACATTCTATTTAACAGTTACTCCTCTGAATACATACAGAAGTCAACATTCAAGAGGAAATACAGTGTACGAGCACCTCTCCCCGTTCTGTCTCCCAGTCACCTGCTCATCGGTGCCTTCCGCAGCCATTTGGTCTAAGTTTTCCGGTATTTGTTCTCAACCACAGCCGGCCTCCCAGAGGGGCCAACGTGTGTAACCCGTGCCTGGCCCAGCAGGCATCTCTCAGGCCCGGGGCTCACACACTCCTGCTCAGGACTTTGTCCGGGCCGACCCCTCCGGGATTCCTTCCGCCGGATCTGCTGTTCCGTGTCCTACGATGGCCAGCTGAGCCAGGACCCTTCTGTGACGGTTCCGCCGCCTTCGGCCGGAGGGCTGTGTCCCTCCTTCCAGCGCACCGCACTCGGGAGCTCCCTGAGGACACCCACTGCCTGCCTTCCTCCCGAGTTATTTTCGACCTGGTCTCATGCCTCCTAATGAACTGTGAGCTCATTCGTGTCTTCAGCCGATTTTTATGGCACTGTGCCTCAGGCCTGCTCCACCTGGCCAGGAAGGAAGGCCATTTAAGACTGGGGTGGTGTAATTGCTGACTTTGGTCAAGTACAGCGTCTGACACGTAGTGGGTGCTCAGCAGACACCTACGAATGGGCAGATGGAGGTGGGTGGGTGGGTGGATGGATGGATGGATGGGTGGGTGGATGCGGGTGGATGGGTGGGTGGATGGATGGGTGGATGGATGGGTGGATGGGTGGGTGGGTGGGTGGGTGGATGGATGGGTGGGTGGATGCGGGTGGATGGGTGGGTGGATGGATGGATGGATGAGTGGGTGGATGGGTGGATTGGCAATCATGGGATGTGTGGGATCGGGGATGCATTATTGGGTGTTGGGCTTTGCTGTGATCATAGTGATGGTGGGAGGTGGTGTCGAGGTGCAGGGTGGCTTATGGGCTTATTTGAAGTCTATGAACCTCATGGAGTTGTTCTATTGCCCAGGTTGCCATCCGCCTCACTGAGGGGTGAGTGGGGAGGGCTCTGGAGGGGAGCACTGATGTCCAGCCCACCACACAGAGTCACTGTGTCAAAAGGAGTCCCCGGCTCACAGTCACACCACGGCGTTGTCCCGACACCTGGAGAGGGCCCCCCGCTCTACACACCGGGTGTTTTTTCCAGTCCCTCTAAGCCGAGGTGCAGTTTGTCTATTCCGCTAGGTCCTTGGCTCAGACTGTCTTCGGGAAGGACTGCACAGGCAGCGCCAGCCGGGAGGGTATGAAGAGAGAGCCCCCCAAAGCTTTCCTTCAGGCCTCTCCACCTACAAAGCATGAACTCCACCCCCACCCCCCACTAGGCTGCTCTGGGGCTTCTGGGGACTTGGCCCGGAGGGAAGGAGTTAAGTGGGACCTGCTTCCCCGGGTGGGATGGAGCTCGCATTCCTTTCTCCAGAGATAGCCCGGCTGTGGGGCCAGAGGCTAAATTTAGCAGGTGGCTAAGGTTTCCTGTGAGCAGCTGTCCTGCCCCTCAGAGGAGAGGCACTGAGGGACAGTGGGCCCCTCTCACTGGTCGGGCCTTCTAGCCATTTCCTCTGGGTCCCTGCGGCCTCGGGACACCCCCTCGGTGTGGAGACACAGGCAGAACTGCGGTGAGTGAGCCTCTTTCTCCGCTTGGTCCTGTGGGCCCCTGGGGTGGGCACAGGGGCAGCAGCTCTGCCCCAGGTGTCAGGGCCCAGCCACCGGGGACCAGCTCAGCTCCGGGGGCTTCTCCTGCCTGAGGGCTGGGGGATGGTGCCTGGGCCCGAGGCCGGACCCCGGTGGCCTTGGTCAGACGCGGGGGCCAGCTGCCCTCCCCCAGCGGAGACGGGGTGTGTGACTGCAGGTGTGTGTTTTGTTTCAGCAGAAAGCTTTCTGCTAGGGAAGTCACTTTTCAACCTCTGGTCCCCCTGCCCCCCTTGCTGGCATCTGTGGAAAGAGCCACGTTGTCACTTCTTAAACCTTGTAACTCTGAGGCCGGCTCTTGATCAGCCAGGGCGTGAGCCTTGGTGTCCTGGTGACAGTGGCTGGGCCAAGTGTGACTTAGTTTCCCCCGTGGGTCTTCTCACCAGGAAAGTATTAGCATGTGGTGACCCCACCCCCATTCCCAGGTCCACCGAAGTGGCCTTACTGACACCCCGCCCCCCCTCCCCCTAACCCCCAGGACCAGATTCCTCAACTTTTTCCTGCGAAACTCACAGGCTGACAGGCTGTCATGGCGACCGGTCGGGACCCCGAGGAGGAGCAGGTCGTCCCGGGTGACGAGGAGGGAGCCGACGTGCGGGCCGTGCAGGCCCGGTACCTCCTCCGGAGCCCCTCGCCCAGCCAGTGAGTACCTTCTGTGCGCCGTCTCCCCCGCACCGGCCTGCGGTCGACCTTAGAACCGCGTGCCTGGGGTCTGGTGAGCGGAGGGCCCAGGGCAGGAACAACTGGCTTTGGAGGGGGCGTGAGAGACTTCCTGGAGGAGGCGAGGCTGGACCTGAACCTCGAAGGATGAGTAGGAGTCTGACGGTGTCTTTCCTGGAGAGTCCCCTTTCTTTTAGGACAATGTAACACTGTCTTTTACATAACATCCTTGAGAGACTATTATGAGGCAGAGTCAAAAATTTCATGAAGTTCTAAGAAAAACCAGAGACAGCAGAAATGCCTCGTGGCTGTTTGGAATGGTTCTGTCATAATAAGAGCGGGCCTGCCTCCTCCCCTCCGCCCTGGCACCCAGTTCATGTGCAGAGTCACTCCGCTTCCCGAGCCTGACTTCTCTGTGAACGGGAAGCAAGGACCCGGCTAGAGTATCTCAAGGTCACCTGGGGTCTTACAGGCTCCCCCACGGGAGAGAGGTGGAAATGAAGGGGGGACCTCATCCATCGTGGCCTTTGGCAGACTGTCCTGCTTATGGTCATTTGGGGCCTGTAGGCAGTTTTAAGGGTTTTAACACCCAAAGTCTTTAAAATTTATTAATTTATATTTTTAATCCTCACCCGAGGATGTTTTTCTATTTATCTTCAGGTAGAGTGGGAGGGAGGGAGGAGAGAGAGGGAGAGAGAGAGAGAGAGAGAGAGGGAGAGAGAGAGAAACATTGACATGAGAGGGACACATCGACTGGTTGCCACCCACACGACCTGACCAGGGCTGGGACGAACCGCAACTGGGGTACGTGCCCTTCACCGGAATCAAACCCACAATTCTTTGGTCAGAGGGCCAACGCTCTAACTGCTGAGCCACACCGGCCAGGGCCCCCAAGCCTTTTTAAAAAGGCTCATGGTTTCTTTAACAATATGATCTACACAGACCAGACAACTCCATGAGTCAGGAACCACACCAAAGCTCCTTCTTAGATGTTTCATCCCAATTCATTTCTTCGCTTCCCTGCGTGCATGCTCACCCTCCACTCGGTGTGGGTGGGAAGTCCTGTCACTTCTAGTGTGTGTTGTCAGTTTCGGAACAGAACGTGTAACTAACAATCAAATGGGCGGGGAAGACACAGTAATACAATGTAATCAATGCCGAGGAAGGCAAGAAAGAAGAGAAAAAATATACATAAAATAATAACAAGCCCTGGCCGGTTTGGCTCAGCAGTTAGAGCGTTGGCCTGCGGTCCAGAGAGACCCAGGTTCGGTTCCTGCTAAAGGCAGGTGCCTTGGTTGCGGTTTGTCCCTGGCCCTGGTTGGGTCGTGCAGGAGGCAGCCACTCGATGTGTCCCTTTCACATCGATGTTTCTCTCTCTCTCTCTCTCTCTCTTCCTGTCTCTCCCTCCCACTGTATCTGAACAAAAATGGAAAAATGTCCTCGGATGAGGATAAAAAAATTAAAATAAAAAAAATAATAAGAAAATGGTAGAATTAAATCCAAATATATAAGTAATCACGTTAAACACCAATAGACGAAACACTGCAATCAAAGCACTACCACCGGCGGACTCAGTGTTTGGAAAGCCCAGGTACTGCTTACAAGAGACAGGCCTGAGGGTGTACAAAGGTTACAGGGCTCCAGTGACCGTTGCTCATGCCGTAAGATTTAGTGACGTAAAGCAACCGCTTATTAGCTTGGCATGGGAACCTGGGCGAGGGACGGGGGTGTGGCTGGCCTTTGCCCCAAGGTGTCTGAGGCCTCGGCTGGGAAGACCTGGAGACGGGATGACCTGAGGGCCAGGCCGACCCCACAGCAGGATCTTAGAGGCCTCTTCACGTGTTTGGCATTTCCTGTTGGCCAGACACCTCACATGGTCTTTTCTTTCTTTTCTGGTTAATCCTTACTGGAGGGTATTTTTTCCATTGATTTTTAGAGAGAGTGGAAGGGAGGGAAAAAAGGGGGAGAGAGAGAGAGAGAGAGAAAAAAAAACATCGATATGAGAGAGACACATCGATTGGTTGCGTCCCACACCCTGACCAGGGCTGGAGATCGAACGTACAACCCAAGTATGTGTCCTTGGCTAAAATCAAACCTGAGACAATCTGGTATAAGGACCGACATTCTTTTTTATAAATTTTTAAAAAATGATTATTTTTTTATTATCGTGAAATCTATAAAAACAATACAAATGAATAAACCAAACAAAATAGAAAAAGACCCACAGAGGACTGACATTCTAACCACTGAGTCATGCCGGCCAGGGCATAACATGGTCTTTTCTCATTTTTTTTTAATCCTCACCTGATATTTATCATCAGATAGAGTGGGAGGGAGGGGGAGAGAGAGAATCATCGACATGAAAGAGGCACATCGACCAGTTGCCTCCCGCATGACCCCAACAGGGCCGGGGATGAACCGCAACCATGGTCCATGCCCTTGACAGGAATTGAACCCATGACTCATTGGTCCATGGGCCGACGCTGTAACCACTGAGCCAAACCAGCCAGGGCGTCACTTATGGACTGTGTACTAGACCTTTGTAAGGTATATAAATGTCTAATCACTGCTGTGCACTTGAAACTAATATAATACTGTATGCCAACTATAATTGAAAAATAAATTTAAAAATAAATCTATAGGAAATTTGAACAAAACAATAAACAAAATTAATCTGATTGGCATTTATAGACCATGAACCCAACGATCGCCGAATATGTGTTCTTATCGCCTGCACAGGGCACAGTTACCGAAGTGGAACAACACACGCTAGGCTTCATTGCTTTGTCAACACGCTTTTAATGCTTAAAACGATGCAAAACACATTTTCTGACCAGTTGAGACTTAAGCTAGAAACCAATAAAAGCCGAAATATGTCACAGAAACTGGCATGAAAACGACACCTCAGTACCGCTACAGACTCGCCACACTATCTAAAATTAAAACCCAGCGGCAGCCAATCGGAATGATGATGGGAGACAGACTCCCATCACTGCTGGTACGTGTGTAAATTAGTACAGCCATTTAGGAAACTCTCCCGTAGTATCTACTGAAACCAAACATATGCCCGTCCCGTGACCGAGCAGCCTTGATGCTGATACTTACAGGAATAGGACCCCATGCACCAGAAGGGTGTTCCAGCAGCTCGTGGTGGTCAAGGTACAGAATGTTTAAACAGCACAACGAACTGTCCAGTTAACAGCAGGCTGGCAGAATGAAGTCTGTGTATATATTTAATTATTGCCCTAGGGCCCGGGCATCGTCTGAAGAGCCTCTCACTTTGGGGGACGGAGTGTCTTAGAGTGTAGGTTGGGAAGGGAAACTGTGAGACCAGGCAGGAGTAGAGGAGGAAGACGAGTCACCTTTTTCTGCCTCCCTTGTTTCTCACCGAGTCAGAATCCGTCTCTGCTTTTTCTTTCTGGATCTGAATTTCTCCGGCCGTGGCCGTTTGGTGGACTTCCTCGGTGGTAGGGTCAGGCCATCTCTCGAGCTGGCGTCTCCGCCCACCGTCGGTGACGTTTCCTGGCCAAGTTCACGTGGGGGGTGTGGCGGGTGGGAGCTGGCTGTGGACGGGCCAGGCTGGGTCCTCAGGAAACGGCTCCTCCGTCTCCCCTCTCTCTTTGATGTTCCCGCTCCCGTGACGGTTTTTCCGCCTCTGCCGCTCTCTGCAAGCCTGCTGGCCGCGGGGGCTGGACATCGATTTGCTTTAGTGGACTGGCTTCTCTCCTTCCTCGGAGCCTGACCTGGCCTGTGTGCCCCTTTCTCTGAAGCCAAAGGACGTTCGGAGGGTGCTCAGATACCTGTGCCTTTTCAGCAAAAGTCAGATCAAGAAAGACACCCCCTCCTGGGCCTCTGCCTGCATGTTTCCCAAGGAGTCCTGGAAAGGACGTGATCGGCTGTCGGGGGATCTGGGCTGAAGGACCCCAATCCCGCTCCATCCTGTGTCCTGACAGCCTGTCCCTTGGCTTTCAGACTGTGCCGAGGGCCCCGCGGTGGGAGACACTCACCTCCCGGCTCAGAACCAGCGCCAGGTGTGCGGACATTTACAAAGAGGTTCCACAAAACCGTACTCATCCTTGCTGTGGACGGTGCTGTTCTGGTTTTCTCTCTGTGCCCCCGGAGCTGGGCGTGCCAGTGAACCGATTCTGTGACACTAACGGGCACAGTCTGGGCTGGGAGAGCGGGGCGGAGGGAAGCAGCACCCCTCCGGCTCCTGGTCAGGACGCTGGTCAAGCTCACCTCACGGTCACGTTTTCAGTTCCCCTCAGGGCTTCAGCTGCTTCTTGCTGATCCCGTGATGAGATGTCTATCGATTCTGGTGGACAGCCAGCCCCTGCCGCTTTGGATCGGGCGTGGGCGCCCCCTCACTGCACCTTAGGCGTGTGGGCATCGCGGGTGGCGGCCCCGACGTGGTCCAAGTCAGACCTCCAGGGCCGCAGTCTCGCTGACCTTGTAACCGACGCAAGGTCAGTGCTCAAGTCTCACCTCCTTCCTCCTTCTTTCTGGACAGTTCTGTCTGCTCCTCACTGCCCCCCCCCCCAGGCCCGTCCGTGTCCTCCCCTTCTCCTTCCTTACAGACTTGGGAACCACATTGGTGGCAAACGGTTTCATGACCCCCCGGTGCCCGTGCCCCCTCTCCTAGCGGCCGTCTGGTGAAAGCGCTGTGAGCAACCCCTGGCCTGTCACTGAGGGTCCTGATCTCACCCCTGTACAGCAGCGGCCAGGAACCGCTGGTGGTGGGGCTGGAGGTCGTCTCAAGGTGTCCTGGGTCTCGCCTTCCGGTGCGATTCCCCCGGTTTGCTGAGGAAGCTGCTGAACTTCCGTCTGCACCGCCCACAGGAAGGCAAGGTGCTTCTCGGTCGTGTCTGTTCCCAAGTTTCAATTTCAAATCAAACCCCAGCCTCTGAGTTTAGGGGCGAGTAGGACAGAGGCTTGGTTTCCGGTGTTTGTCACTTAAAACTGGACCCACCTGTAAGAAGTTAACGCTGTCGAGGGAAAACGGCCAGGTCAAGGGCTCACAGGTGGAGAGCCACCTGCTGAGTCGTCCCGGCCTCTGCGCACCTGACAGGTGAGGGCTCTTCCCTGTTTCTTTCACCTTGTCCCCAACTGGGAGTACCGAGGACAGACACCAGAAAGCCTCCTCAGAATGCAGGGCCCTGGAGGCCAGCAGAGGACAGAAACTGACCTGTGGGAGCAAGGGGGGCTGCCTGGAGGAAGCACCTTGTCATCCCACCAGAACAAAAATTCCTGGCTCGTCGTCGGCCTGTGGTCCGGAGAGACCTGGGTTTGGTTCCCGCTAAGGGCACGTACTTCGGTTGCAGTTTGTCCCCGGTCCTGGTTGGTCGTGCGGGTGGCAGCCACTCGATGTGTCCCTTCACGTCGATGTTTCTCTCTCTCTCTCTCTTCCCCTTCCTCTCTCTCCCTCCCACTCTATCTGTACAAAAAATGGAAAAATATCCTTGGGTGAGGATAAAAAAAAAAAAAAAAAAATTCCTGGCTCATGACCTGCCGGGGTCAGGTTCGCTCTCCTCCCCAAACCTCATTTTACATAGTTCTGGCCTTTAGTACACAAAACAAGTATTTTGTTACCAGGATAAATACCACTTTTATAAGTAAAAGGACGACTGTCCCTTAATAGATGTTGTCGCAGTGGCGACGGGCTCACATTTACACGGGACGTGAGGCTCTGACTACAGTCGCACGAGATGTTATTTGAAAGCCACGGTGCCCTGAACCCTGGGCCCAGACTGTCCCCTGTGGGTGCCACGTGTTGTTTCTTCCCCACGGCAGACACGTGGGTGGTCGCTGACTCTGACTAGGCTCTGTCGCCACGAGAGCGTGCCCCGGCATTTGCTCAAATGTCACCTCTTAGTCCTTGGAGCAGCCTGTGCCTGTTATTTATTACTGCTTCACAACGTTCCCCGACACGCGATGACTCAGGACCATGGCTCTGTTTGCTCCCTCTTCGGTGGGTCAGGAACCTGCCAGGACTAGGCTGGGCCGCTGCGGGAAGGGCGGCAGGTGCAGCTTCCGCCTCTGAGGGGCCCGTGCACGTGGCTGGCTGTGGGCTGGGAGCCCAGCGGGGACTGTCGGCCAACAGCCGTCCCCACTCGGTAGTCAGACCTCTTCTCTGGCAGCTCGGGGCCGCCAGAGAGAACGACGAAGCCAGGAAGGGAAGCTGCCCTTTAGCCCGGGCTCAGTGGCTGCACAGTGTCACTTCCAGAACATTCTACCGGTGAAAGCCTCCAAGAGACCACCCAGATTCCAGGGCAGGGGACTGACCTCTCTAAGTGAGGAGGGTCACAGGTCTGGGGCCACCTGTAATCCACCATAAGAAAAAGCTGCTAATTGTCAACACAGACCTCCCAGAGTAGGTGCACTTGGGCCTCCGGGGCGCACAGTGAGCACGGACCGGCGGAGCCAGGGCTCGGGTGTCGCCACAGGCGTCCCAGTGAAATGATGAGCATGGCACATGCTTGTTGCTCACTGCCAAGTTCCCTGAAACCAGATGCTACTGAGGACACGTTCGGCCAGTGAATCAGAACGTACCTATGACCTTTCCCTCAGTGCCAGTTACTGTGCAGGTGCAGGGAACCCAACAGTCATCAAAACACCCAGCAGGGCCCTGCCTCCTGGGGGCGTGGTCTCGTCCAGGACACAGGCCTGCCTCACAGTCTCACAGGTTGGTGTCAATGTGTACCCGGTAGAGGTGCCCTACAGAAAGGAGAATGGGCAGTGTGAGGTGGAGGCCAGGGAAGACTCTTCCCAAGGGAAACCACGAACCTACGGTGAAGGTGGCGAAGCAGGGAGGGCTAAGTGTGCAGGCAGCGGACATGGGCCTCGGCCCACCCACCCGTCCATCCACCCACCCATCCATCCATCCATCCATCCATCCATCCATCTATCCATCCATCCACCCACTTATCCACCCATCCACCCGCCCATCTACCCACCCATCTATCCATCCATCCATCCATCCACCCACCCACCCACCCATCCACCCATCCACCTATCCATCCATCCACCCACTCATCCACCCATCCACCCGCCCATCTACCCACCCATCTACCCATCCATCCATCCATCCATCCATCCATCCACCCATCCACCCATCCATCTATCCATCCATCCACCCACTCATCCACCCATCCACCCGCCCATCTACCCATCCACCCATCCACCCATCCACCCATCCACCCATCCATTCATCCACCCATCCACCCGCCCGCCCGCCCACCCACCCGCCCATCCACCCGCCCATCCACCCACTCATCTACCTATCCATCCATCCATCCATCCATCCATCCATCCATCCATCCATCCGTGGTTTCAACATGTATCTTTTAGGTACTTTGCTGTGTCAGAGTCTGGGCTGTGACTGGGGATCCAATGGGGTCACATCTACGAGCTGACTCCCCTGCCCTTGCCAGTCTAAATGGCGTCAGCGTGTCGCGGTGGAGGGACTGGATTTAAAGCAAAGCCTCTGTGTTTGCAGCTCAGCCCTGCTGCTTACTGCCTTGGGCGATTTTGGTAAACATTCTGAGCTACAGTTTTCTCATCTTAAAGCAGGAATAATACCTATTTGTGGGAGTTTTGTCAAAATTAAAGTCATACCAGGCACTCAGAAAGCGGTATCTATTCCTAGCACAATGGATGAAAGCAAACCAGGGAACATCACTGGGATATTTCAACCCTGGGAACTAAAACGAGACCCTGCAGGATTCCATAAATATAAAGTAGGTCAGGTCCCGGGATCAGGAAACACACTCACTTCAGACTTTTCAAAGCAAAAAGACCACAGACAGAGGTCCCAGGTCCGGGCGAAGTGGCCACCCGTGGGTTGTCCTCCGCACACCTGGACGGATGGCAGGGCAGCTGTCCGAGGGCTCTGGGAAGGACATCGCAGCAGATTCAGGAAGGAGACAGAATCCGAAGTACCAAACCGGAGGCGGGCTGTCGTTTTCCCCTCTGGGACACTCAGCCTGGACCCCAGGCACGGGACAGTGGTGGCGGAAGTAGCCTGAAGGGCAGAAACAGTGGGTGCCACCAGGGGACAGAAAGGAGCCAGCTGTGACGTGGGCAGTGGGTGGCTGACGCTCAGGCACACTGCTCAGTGAGCCGGGCAGCGTCCGGAGACTCCACGACGTACGACCATTCTGGAAAAGGCCACGCTGTGCTGTGCCCCACGTTCGTGGTGGCCAGGGGACGAGGGGCGGGGCACGGGGATGATCAAAGGGCAGAATGAGGGCAGGTTTGTGATCGGAAAGAAAAAAGGTGTCCATTAAACCCTCTCACCTTTTTTTTTTGTTTGTTTGTTTTTTGTTGTTTGTTTTTATCCTCACCCGAGGATATTTTTCCATTTTTTGTACAGATAGAGTGGGAGGGAGAGAGAGAGAAACATCGATGTGAAGGGACACATCGAGTGGCTGCCACCCACACGACCAACCAGGGCCGGGGACAAACTGCAACCGAAGTACGTGCCCTTAGCGGGAACCGAACCCCGGTCTCTCCGGACCGCAGGCCAACGCTCTAACCGTTGAGCCAAACTGGCCAGGGCTCACCTTTTTTTTTTAAACCTCTCTGGACCTAGGAAAGATTAAGCGGAAAAATCCCCAGAGCGCACCCAACACTGGAAAAGAGGAGACACACACCCCCACCGGGAGGGGGACACCCGCCACTAGACCGTGGCCCTAATCAGTTTCCGCCTTTGACCCACAGCTCCCTCCACAGGCCCTGAGGACCCCTCTGCTGGGTTTATCCCGGAAACGGCCTTGGTGTTTTGCTCAGGTGCCTGACTGCATCCCTGCCCAGGCTGGTCCTCCGGTCCTTGTGGTCAGACGAGGGTGGGCAGGGAGCACGTCCGCCCGCTCCCTCCGCTGTGCCAGGCCTCCCTCTGTGCCCAGCCGCTCCCGCACAAGCAGGGACACCACACGGGGCACCCAGCTACCACCCAGCAGAGGCAGTGAGGCACATCTCTGCATTGATGGCAGGGAAACGGGCCGAGGGGTACAGGAGCAGCGGGCCGCCCAAGGGTGGGGACACAGTACAGAAAGTCAAGCCGCATCAGGGTGAGTCCCCCCAGCCACAACCTGGACGACCGTGTCCCTAAGCGTCGGCTCACCTGGGTGCCAGCTCCGGGCTGACAGATGACCTCTGTGCCCCGGCCCCAGCGTCCGCCTTCTCAGGCTCCTCGGCTGCGGAGGGCTCCCTCTGGCGGGCAGCGCTGCCCACCGTGGCTAACAGCATGCTCAGGACCCTCAGGTCAGGAGGACGGCTCCCATTCGGAGTCTCTCCCGCCCTCTCGCAGGTGCTCCGTGGTCTCCGAGGCAGACACAGAGAGCGTTTTCATGGAGCCCATCCACCTCTCCTCCGCTGTGGCTGCCAAAAGGATCATCAGCGAAGGTAATGCCGCAGGGCGGGGCGGGAGTCGGCCAGCCCGCAGGCCACCCGGAGGCCTCAGACGGGCCCGGAAGGGGTCCGTGTGCGTCTCGGGCGCTCCCATGTCACCGAGAGGAGCAGGGCAGGAGGCGGCTCATCCGGCCTTCCCAGCAGGTGCTGCTGGCCTGTCAGCCCACGCCCAGGGGCCGGCAGCGAGCTGGCCGGGAGCAAGCTCTCCCCGGAGCGGGCGGCTGTGCGGTCCCGCCCTGCTGAGACCCCACCTGTGCCCCTAGAACTGAAGCCGCGGGGGGTCCGGACCGAGGCCACGGGTCGGGGCATGCTGGAGTCGGCCGAGCAGCTGCTGGTGGAGGACCTGTACAACCGCGTCCGGGAGAAGATGGACGGCACCAGCCTGTACAACACGCCCTGCGTGCTGGACCTGCAGCGGGCCTTGGTCCAAGACCGCCAGGAGGCCCCCTGGAATGAGGTGGACGAGGTCTGGCCCAACGTCTTCATAGCGGAGAAGTGAGTCTGACGGTGGGGTGTGACCCTGTGTCCCGCCCTCCGGTAGCGCCCGATGGAGATGCAACTGCCCCCATTCTCACCAAAGGCCCGATAGCTCCAGCCAGAGAAGCGATGCTGCCTGACCACCCACCCTGCCCCCCATGTCGGAGAAAGGCCCCACCCGCCCACCTGCACGCACAGACCGCCCTCACCTCACAGGTCCTCAGGGCAAAATGCTGGCACAATTGTCCTCTGTCCCCTCCAGGTGCCTTCTCTGGGCTCCCTTCCTGCCTGGAGCCAACACACCCCCTCGCCCTCCGTCACAGCCCCCGGGGCACATTCGGAGCGTGTCTGCCGCTGTGCTGAGAAACTCACAGCAGTGAGGACACCAGGTGGCTTCAGCATGGCGCTGTGGGGTGGCAGTGGACGCCTGTGTAGCGTCTGCATTGACAGCAAACGAGAACCAAGTGGAACCAAATCTCCACCGCACGTCTCCCTAGGAGGGGGTTCCGCACGCCGTTTTTGTTTTTTGTTTTTTTTTAATCCTCACCTGAAGATATTTTTACATTAATCTTCAGATAGAGCGGGAGGGAGGCAGGGAGAAAGAGAGAGAGAGAAACATCGACGTGAGAGAGACATCGACTGGCTGCCACCCACATGACCCCAACCGGGGCTGCACCTGAGGTATGTGCCCTTGGCAGGAATTGAACCTGGGTCTCTGGTCCATGAGCAACGCTCCTACCGCTGAGCCAAACCGGCCAGGGCCACACTTGATTTTTAGTTTCTTCTTTAGGTTTCTTTAGAAGCGTACAGATTTCCTAGAGTAAACATTTATTGTTGTCAAAATCAGGAAAAAAAAGTTAGTTTTTAAAAATGTGTCAGTGGTTTCCAGAACCATCTCACTCACCTTCAGGCTCTGCCCAGGCAGAGGGGGGCGCCAGTGGCCTTGCGGGGGCTGCAGATCTGCCGACTACTTAGCGGGATATTCTCCCGGTGTAATTACCCGTCTCCAGAAGCGAAGGAGGGGAATGGCGGCCTCTGGGGGGACAGTAAGGAAACTGCCCTTGGACGGTGGGTCTTGTTCTGCACAGTGGAGTCACCTGCCCGGAGCCTGATTCCCAGGGCTGGGCACTGAGTCCCAGGTGCTCTCTGCTTAGCTCCGTAGACCCAGAAACACTCGCACGTGGTCCCCAGCTGCAGGCCTCTGCTCCCTGGGCAGCCCTGGCCTTAGGGCCTCGTCAGAGTCAGCCCCTCACTCCCCAGCAGCAAAGAGAGCTTTGGGCCCGGCCCATGTGGCTCAGTGGATTGAGCATGTCCATGGACTGAGAGGTCCCGGTTCGATTCCTTGTCAGGGCACATGGCCGGGTTTCAGGCTCCATCCCCACCAGGGGGCGTGCAGGAGGCAGCTGCTGGATGTATCTCTCTCACATCAATGTTTTTATCTCTCTTTCCCTTCCTCTCTAAAAAATAATCAATAAAAACATATTTTTTTAAAAGAGCGAGAGAGAGCTCTGAGCTAGAATCTCAAACCACTGGGCCTTTCGACGTCTCCCTCGCCCTCTCGGGAGGCCAGAGCTTTTCCGGTTCGTTTTTACCAATGGGAATGAAATCGTTTCCCTGCCTGCCTCCGGAGTGCGTTATGAGGATAAGATAAACGAAAGCGTGCGGCCGGACTTTGAGAACGCCCGCAGTCCTCATCAACGTGAATCGCACCTGCTCATTTCTGTCGGCCTCTCCTGAGTCTCGGTGGGTGTTTATTCCCAAGGCCTGGGGCTTTAAACCAGCAAGCTCGGGACATTCACAGGTGTCCTTACAGCCCATCTGGTTCTCTTCTTCACCCTGCCCTCCCTGGCCAGCTCCTGTGTCTTCTCCCTTTTGCTGGGACCCAGTCCCTGGCTCCTTTTCTGAGTGTATTTGCAGTGAGCCCCAGACTCGTGGGGAGCAGAGGAGGAGGCGCTCACCGGCTGTGCCCTCCTGACCCTTAGCAGTAACCCACCGTTCTAGCTCTGACTCTGGCCCCAAAACGCCCCTGCCTTTTTGTCCTCAGGAGCGTGGCCGTGAACAAGGGGAGGCTGAAGCGGCTGGGAATCACCCACATCCTGAACGCTGCTCATGGTACCGGCGTCTACACGGGGCCTGACTTCTACACCGGCCTGAGCATCCAGTACCTGGGTGTGGAGGTGGACGACTTTCCCGACGTGGACATCTCCCAGCATTTCCGCAAGGCCGCCGAGTTCCTGGACGAAGCCCTGCTGACGTGCCGAGGTGAGGGGTCCGCCCGCCTCGGGCAGCTGGGACTCCCGCCCGGCGACGAGAGACGCGAGGCAGGACCGTGAAAACCTCCCGCCTGGCTGGGTTTATCTGTCTCAAGGTTGCTGGACAAGGGGTGGAGGGGGAAGGAAAGGGCCATCAGGTGTCCAGTGAGTGAGGACCGAGGGGCTGCCTGGGGCCCTGGGATGCGACGCCCAGAGTCTGGTCCCTGCATCTTCCGTGGTTGTGAAGACAGCGACATGTAAAGGAAAAGAGAAAGAGGAATGTGAGGTGCCGGCGGGGGTGAGGCAGAGACTGTGCCTGGGACAGTGCGTTGGAGACAGGCCAGCACCTCAGACAGGGAGGGCGACAAGGGGACCTGTACGCTGAGTGACAAGGAGGAATTCGCTGTGGAAAAGTTGGGGGAAGTGCACGTGGCCGAGGAAAGTGCTGGAGCAAGTCCCGGGGGGAATTAGCTTGCTGAGGAGTCGTGGGCTGGGGTGGGCAGGCCCTGCGGGTGCGGGTGCGGGTGCGGGTGCGGGTGAGGGTGCAGGGGCCCCGCGGGCAGACAGGTGGAGGCCAAGGCCAGGTCCTGAGAAGGCTCCGTGGCAGGACGCTCTCCTGCCCCTGGCCTGGCTCAGACGCACGGCGAGTGCGCTGGCGCCCAGAGCAGCCTCCCTGCTGCTGACAGCGACAACTCAGGGCAGGGAGGCCGTGACCCTGCACGGGTGCCAGAGGCCCGGACACGTGACACCCGGCTCGTCGAAACGCTGTGTAGGGGAAACCGTGACGAGGCCGTGCTGTGGCTGCGGCGCCGTGACTGGTGCTCTCTCCCCAGGGAAAGTGCTGGTCAGCAGCGAGATGGGCGTGAGCCGGTCGGCGGTGCTGGTGGCGGCCTACCTGATGATCTTCCACCACATGCCGGTCCTGCAGGCCTTGATGACGGTGCGGAAGAGGCGGGCCATCGCCCCCAACGACGGCTTCCTGAGGCAGCTCCGGGAGCTCAACGAGAAGCTGATGGGAGAGAGGGACGAGGACGAGGGCTGGGAGGGGGGCGCCCCTGGGGCCGAGGAGGACGAGGACGCGAGCAGCGCCGCCGGGGCCGGGGCGCACCGCCTCACCGTGGAGGAGGAGGACGACGCCACGAGCCGCCTGAGTGGCTCCTCCTTGGGCACGGCCAGCCAGGCCTCCAAGCCCCTCGCCCTCATCGATGAAGACGAGGAGGAGAGGATCTACGAGCAGTGGACGAAGGAGCAGGGCCTCCCGACCAGCAGGGGCCCCCCGGGCGGAGACGGCAGGCGCTCCACCCGCTCTGCCCCGTCCGAGCAGGGTGGGGAGGAGTCTGAGGACGAGGACCTGGAGAGGATCATCCGGGAGTGGCAGAGCCGGAATGAGAGGTACCAGGCAGAGGGGCACCGGAAGTGGGGGCGGGAGGAGGAAAGAGAGGAGGAGGGTGCCGCCGGCCCCTTCGAGGGGAGAAGGCGCAGGTGCACCGTGAGCGAGAGCAGCACCTCGGAGAGCGTCAGCAGCCATGCCGTTCGGGTCCTGAGGCAGCAGCTGGAGACCAGCAGCCAGAGCCGCGCCCGGAGGCCCCGCTCAGACTCCGTGTCCACAGAGAGCACCTGGGACGTGTGGGACCAGAGGCTGCTGGAGGCGGAGACGGAGGCTTCCCGGAGGTTCCACGCCAGGAGCCGGAGAGAGGAGGCGGACGCAGGCTCGGAGGCGGGGAGCCGGGCTCGAGGGGACGACGAGGAGAGCGTGTTGTCCGAGGCCAGCTCCTTCTATAACTTCTGCAGCAGGAACAAGGACAGACTCACGGCCCTGGAAAGGTGGAAGGTCAAGAGAATCCAGTTCGGATTCCACAGGAGGGGCTCGGAGGCAGGAGAGAGCGGCGGTGAGCCAGGGGCCGAGGAGGCCGAGCAGGAGAAGAAAGGCGTCTCCGACGTCAGCCTGACAGCCTACCAGGCCTGGAAGCTGAAACACCAGGAGAAGGTGGGCAGTGAGGACAAGGAGGAGGTGGCAGAGCTCGGCAAGGGCGAGGGCTCGGCCTTGGCCAAGAAGAGGCAGCGGAGGCTGGAGCTGCTGGAGAGAAGCAGGCAGACGCTGGAGGAGAGCCAGTCCATGGGCAGCTGGGAGGCGGCCAGCACAGCGGCCAGCAGGAGCATCCCCCTGTCTGCCTTCTGGTCTGCAGCCCCCTCGGTCAGCGCCGACGGGGACACCGCGTCCGTACTCAGCACCCAGAGCCTGAGCTCCCACCCACCGCAGGCTGTGGGCCACGCCACGCCAGTGCCTAGCCTGCCGGTGGGGCCTGGAGACACCATCTCCATCGCCAGCATCCAGAACTGGATCGCCAACGTCGTCAGCGAAACTCTCGCCCAGAAGCAAAACGAGATGCTGCTCCTGTCCCGCTCCCCGTCCGCGGCGAGCACCCGGGCGGCACCCGCGGCCAGCTGCCCGGAGGATGACGCGGTCTCCGAGCTCGGCGCACGGAGCGCCTCCTCCCTGGGCCTCCCGCCTCAAAGCCGGGCGAGACCCAGCTCCGACACGCAGTCCGTGCTGTCCTGCCGCAGCACCCCGAGCTCCAGGGCCGACGGTGCGGGGAGCAGAGGGAGGGCCACCAGCAAGCCCATCTGCAGCCTCTTTGCCGACCACGTCAACCTGAAGGAGCTCGACCAGAAGGAGAAGGAGATGCAGCTGGAGCTGAGGGAGAAGATGTCCGAGTACAAGATGGAGAAGCTGGCGTCCGACCACAAACGCAGCAACCTTTTCAAGAAGAAGAAGGTCAGGGAGGACGAGGACGGGGACGTGGGCGAGAAGGACGAGGATGCTGACAGCGCCATCAGCAGCTTCCGAGATTCTTCCCGCAGCGGCTCCCAAAAACCCGGAGCGGACGCCAGCTCCTCCCTGGATGCGCCTGGTCACTACGGCGGCAGCAGCGGGACCGGCCACCAGACAAACAGCAGCATAAATACGTGGCTCAGCGGCCTCGGGTCGGAGGAAAGGTCTCCTCCCCAGAGCGACTGGTCTGGAGGCTCCTCCAGGGGGAAGCACACCAGGTCTTCCCTGCTCCAGGAGATGGAGTCCAACTCCTCCAGGTACAAGTTCTCCAAGTCACGTTCGGAGGCAAAGGACACGTCCTCCTACCACACGGCCGACGGCAGCTCCGTGAGAAGCACGTCCCGCTTCTCCTCCTCCTCCACCAGGGAGGGCCGGGAGACACACAGCTTCTCCAGGGCCGTGTTCAGCGAGACCACAAGCTCCCAAGAGGCCAGCCCGGAGCCCTCCGCCGGGGAAGAGTCGCCCGAGCCCCGGCGTCCGGACTGGGCCCGGCCCAGGGACTGGGAGGACGTGGAAGAGTCGTCCAGGGCAGACTTCTCTGAGCTTGGAGCCAAGAGGAAGTTCACCCAGAGCTTCGTGAGGTCTGAAGAGGAGGGAGAGAGGGCGAGGACGGAGCGCAGAGAGGAGGGGAGGTTTGCGTCAGGACGGCGGGCCCAGTACCGGCGCCGCACAGACGGGGAGGAGGAGGAAGGAATGGATGACGAGGCCATCATCGCGGCCTGGAGACGCCGGCAGGAAGAGACCAGGACCAAGCTGCAGAGGAGAAGGGAGGATTAGTGGGCCGGGTGGACCTGGGAGGGACTGGGGACACAGGCCGAAGCCAGGCAGCTTAGCACAGGGCTCGGGTGCACATTGCCACCGTCTGTCAAGGGTCAAGGGCATGCACAGGCTCATTGAAGGGGCAGAGCTGGAATAAGAGGTGCCAGGCAGAAGGGCAGAGGAGGAGAGCCATGGAAGGCAGGGCTGAACGCTGCACCCACTGACGCCGTTTCCTGTTGCCCATCCTCTGAGCCTCGGAGGTTCCCGCGTGTGTTCCGTAGTGTTGGTCACAGAGGCGCTGGGGCTGGGGGAGACCCTGGCGCTCGTCCACGAGGCTGTGGGTGCAGGCGTGCTTCTGCGTGGAGCTTTTCTAGTGGGACCCAGGAGGTCGACCCTGTGGCAAGTCTCACCTGTCCCGGCGATGCTGCGTTCTGGTCATTCCTTGTAAATGCATTGGATCGGCATTAAATTGGTATGATGTCCAATATTTCTTCTTCAACCTGGTCACTTTTAGCTCTTTGGATATTCGGGCAAATTTTTTTTAAATCCCCACCTGGGGATATGTTGAGAGAAATCAGTTGCCTCCCACACGTGCCCTGACCCGGGACCAAACCCACAACCTTTTGGTGCAGAGGACGATGCTCCACCATCGAGCGGGTGGCAAACTTGTAAACACACAGATGGGTTACCGTGAGGCAGCTTCACCTTGTCCCACGCACCGAGCCTCCAGACAGCATCCCATCACCACGTCGTGATCGACGGTGACGTCTATTTGTACCTGCGGCGCGGGGGGTGGGGTGGGGGGTGGGGGGGCTGGGAAGACCCCTGATTGCAGTGGAGGAAGCTGGAGAAAGAGAACAGATTCCTCCGATGTCGCGGTGACACTATGTGATTCGGGTGGAGAGAGGGTCCCTCCGGGCTGTCGGAAGAGCACAAGCAAACCGTGGGGAGAGAAGAGCAGAAGGCCCCACCAGGAGGGGGGCGAGGTGTTAGGGAGTCCTGTGGTCGTCCTTGCTCCTGGCGGAGTCACTGCCCGATGCGGAGGGTGGCCCCCTGATCTGTCCTGTGGTCCGCCGGGCTGCGCTGTAAGAGCTCTTTCCCCTCGTTCCCGAGCCTCTCGGCCCCCAGAACGCAGGTCAGGCTGCTGTAGTGCGCAGACGCATTCTGAGCACGGCCTGTGCCGTGTGGGGCTTTGAGATGTCCCAACCAATCAAAAAACCCAATTCCAGCCCTGGCCGGTGTGGCTCAGCGGTTAGAGCGTCAGCCCGAGGACCCAAGGGTCATGGGTTCGAGTCCAGGTCAAGGGCATGTGCCTCGGTTGCTTGGGTCGTGTGGGAGGCAGATGATGATGTATCTCTCTCAAGTCAATGTTTCTCTCTCTCTTTTTCCTTCCACTCTATCTGAAAAAATCAATGGAAAGATATCCTTGAGTGAGGATTGAAAAAGGGAAAAGCAGTTCTAGAGACACAGTGGGTGATGAAGTGATTCCTGGAAGTGACAAAGAGGAAGGGGCCATTCACCCTGGAGTCACTTCTTCTGAAACCCGAGTGTCACGGGACATGGGGCTCAGGCGAGCCTTTTAGGTGGATTCGTTCAACGTCACACATTTCTAGGAGCGCAGACCTACACGCACAGGGCGCCAAGGGGCAGGCCTGCGCTCCACCGGGCACACAGCTGCTGCCAGCACACCTGGGTTAAAGTGCCCACCTTCCTTCTAACAGCCCTGCTGCTGGGTCCCCCCCCCCCTGCCGCGGGGAGAGCGAGGCCTGGGGAAGCACGGACACTGCTGAGCCCTGGTCCCCGCGGCCCCTACCTCCCTGGCTCATGCAGCGTGGGTGGCCTCCATGCCCAGTGGGTGGCCTCCATGCCCAGTTTCCAGCGCTCGCTGGGCCCTTCTCAGTGCATGTGCCGGCCTGACCCTAGCACACCACGGCAAGCAGGCTGCTCGTGCCTGTTCTACCTTCCGGGCAGCTCGAGGCCCCTCCCCCACGGGGGAGCTTCTGATGCGGATGCACGCCAGTGGGCAGGCATCTGAGAAGATGGGTCTTCTGGAGGGAGGGCGGGGATCCCGGGGCAATGGCCCTCTTTCTTTTCCTGATGCCCTCACCTTGAATTATCTAGAAATCTGAGGGTAGATACTCAGGGCCAAGTTCAGGGATGGATAGACCAAATGAATGGCAGGTCCTCCAAGCAGCTGCCCCGGTGCCCACCCACAGGAGCCACTAACTCAGGACTCTACACATCTTTTAATTTATTTAATTTATTTTTTAACATAACTGAAAAGTAAACGAATTGATCTCAATCATGTCAAGGTAGACAAGAAAATTAAAAAAACAATTCTTAGTCAAGCCCTGGCTGGTTTGGCTCAGCGGTTAAAGCATCAGCCCACGGTCCAGAGACCCGGGTTCGGTTCCCGCTAAGGGCACGTACCTCGGTTGCAGTTTGTCCTCGGCCCTGGTTGGGGTCATGTGGGTGGCAGCCACTCGATGTGTCTCTCTCGCATCGATGTTTCTCTCTCACTCTTCCTCCCTCTCCCCCTCCCGCTCTATCTGAAGATAATTGCAAAAAGGTACTTGGGTGAGGATTAAAAAAAAAAATGTCCTAGTCCAGCCTAACTCATACCTCACAGCATGGGTGTTGAACAAACATTTGCAGCATCTTGGTTGAAAGAGTTAGCCCATCTTTCTCCACCCCTGAATGAGAGCCTGGAAGAGACGGACCAAGGACGCCCCTGGTCTGGCTGGGGGAGCAGGGGAGACCCTCACGGCCCACATGCGGACCAGCTCAGCTCACTAGCGAGGGGAGCCAGACCAGGGCCAAGTCCAAGCCTAGACTCTGGAAGCCTTTCACGTGCCGGATCTCCAAGGACAGCTCCCTGGGGACTGTGCCCTCACAGAGGTGTCTGCCTGAGAAGTCGAGCTTCCTCCCGGGTCCCGTACTCTGTATCGGGGAAGCACGTCCATGGAAATGGTCCATGACCGCTGATGGCGAACTTGAAGGAATGACTGGGATTTGAAGTGTTAGGGTTCCCAGGGTGACCTAGGACGACAGGTTGCACTCTGGCCTCCAGTCCTGAAGAAACTGTTTGCAGAGACGAGGGAACGAGAGAGAACAGGAAAGCAGCCAGGTGCTAGCGAGAGCGAGACACGAACGCCACTGAAGACAAGCGAGGGGCTGTTTATAGAGCCCAGCGAGAGACCATGGGGAGGGGGTCGGGGGTGAGTACCCCGAGCTCCCTCTCCTCCTGGGGTTTGATCTCACACTAGGAATGTCCACTGGCCAAAACCACTGCACCCCAGCAGGTAGGAGAGCCCAGCGGTCTGGAGAAGGATGGACTGCGGACTTGCAGGGCAAACAGAGAGCGGCCTACACGAGGTGAACACATCCCCAGGGAAAGGCCGGATCCCCGGGGCCACTCCACAGATGTCATTGTAAATGACAGCGGCACGGAGCCCCGACACAGATCTGTCCATCTTAGACATTAATTAGTGATTGAAACAGGGCTTTAGCTACACAAAACCAACGGATAGTCAGTGATTTTGTCTCATAGGAAGAAAAAGAGGAGGCAGCTGTGAGCTTATGGTCTTCTTCTACCCCTGAGTTATGCAAAGTGCTCACCAGGAGAAAACTCCCACAGTTAGGGGAGGACTGCACAGGAGCCTGTGGGATGTGCCTTGTTACATGTAATTGTATAATCATAATAGCGCATTCTTATTGTTATGGCCATTACTATAGACACAAAGTGCTTAAGAACACAGCTTTGCACGGCCGGTGTGGCTCAGTGGTTGAGTGTCGACCCTGCACCAGGAGGTCACCAGTTTGATTCCTGGTCAGGGCACATGCCCAGGTTGTGGGCCCGATCCCCAGTGCGGGGCATGCAGGAGGTGGCCAATCGATGTTCCCTCTTATCAAAATTTCTATCTCTCTCCCTCTCCCTTCCTCTCTCTCTAAAATCAATAAAGGAAAAATATTTTTTTAAAAAAGAACACAGCTTTGAGCCCTGGCCAGTTTTGCTCAGCAGTTAGAGCATTAGCCCATGGGCCAAAGAGTCTCGGGTTCGATTCTGGTCAAGGGCATGTACCTTGGTTGCGGTTCAGTCCCGACCCTGGTTGGGGTTTTGCAGAAGGCAACCAACCGATGTGTCTCTCTCACATCACTGTTTCTCTCTCCCCCCCCCCCCCGTCTGAAAATAAATGGAAAAATATTCTCAGGTGAGGATTAAAAAAAAAAAGAATTACTACTATGATCATGATTTTTAAAAAGAACACAGCTTTGGGATCTAATTTTTTTTTATCCTCACCCAGATAGAGTTGGGGAGGGGCAGGGGAGGAAGAGAGAGAGAAACATCGATGTGAGAGAGACACATTGAATGGTCGCCACCCACATGACCCCAGCCGGGGCCGGGGACTGGGAGACTGGGATCTAACTGAAAAGCAACCAACACTCTGCTAAATGTTCATCACGTTCCAGGACTATGTTGCGAGCTGGGGCACGGACTGTCCACTTCGTCCTCTTCAGAGTCTTGCCACTTACTTATTCACTTCATTTTCCGAAGCATCAGGAGGTACTGGGGATTCGGAGGAAATCAAGTCAGACGAGAACGTGCCCTGAGGAGCTAATACTTCTATTGACGAAGATAGGCAGTGGACAAGGACTTGAGAATGCTACTTACGATTCCCCTGCCTGTCCGTCGGTCTCTCCCTGCTGTATGTAACTCCATGGTGTCCCATGTACTTGCTAGGGGGCGCGAGAAGCCGAGTCCCGCGTAAAGGGCACCTTCAACAGACGTCGGTTGTGGCTGAAGACAACAGTGCTCTGACATAAACAGGGTGACCTGGTGGGGAAACTGGGGGAGGGCAGGGGGATCGGAAGGTATCTCCCAAAGGAGACCATACTTAAGCTGAACCTGATGGATGAGAAGGGACTGGCGTGACAAGGAGCCCCAGAAAAAACTGATGGGGACACCAAGGCTTAGAGAGGTGAAATAACCAGCTACACAAAGCCACACGACTACTCTAAGTCAAACCCCAACCTGAAGGGGAGACGGTGTGACTTCAGAGCCCGCCCAGCTCACAGGTGCGTGACATCTGTGAAGTACTTAGGACCACGGCTGGCGTGTCATCATCAGTCAGCAGCGTGGACATCCTCTGTTGGGTTGTAAGTGTTTCAACCGATGTTGCTTTGAAAGCCTGGAATTACAGATCAGCTGCTTGGATCCGGCTCCCGGCGTTGTTACATTGTTACAACCCAAAGACTCCAATTGTTTCCGTTCAGTTTCAGAGGGGCGTCTTCCCTTTTTTCTGCGATGAGCAGCAAGATGTTTCGGATGTGATGGGAGAGAGGATGCCAAGGACACTCGTGGTGGGGGGACCCCCAAGCACCTCTGGGGGCCCAGCAGTCCCACCTGTCACTGATGGCTGAG